TGAACCAGTGATCTAGTAAGTAGTCTGAGTTCTGTGAGTCACTCTAACAAAATTAATTGAACCCAACTTATAGTCAAATCAGTCAGAAGCACCGATGTCTGGAGTTGGGGCTTGAGGATGGGGGGTTGGTGGTGGGTGGGGTGCTACTTCTGGGTAGTCAGAATTGAGTTGAATTGTTGAACACCCTTTCTGGTGTCCAGTATGTTTGTTAGTGTGGGGAACACCCAATACACCACTTAAAAATTTAGCAATTTCAGCACATAATCCCACCAAGAATAGGCTGAAACTGAGCAATCCCTTTAGACAAATATTGGCCACAATACAAACCCCAACCCTCTACAAGTTTCCTGGTTCACTCTTATGATGTTGTTACCGAGTCCAAGCTCGCTCTGCTCACCGCAGGACAGGCCAGTGAAACCGAGAGACGAGGTGTTGAGGCAAGGAAAGTGACTTCATTTGGAAAGCTGGCTAAGATGGCAGACTAATGCCTCAGAGTAACCACCTTGTGGGGCGCTGAATGCAAAGTTCTGTTGAGTCAGAGAGAAATAAGCAATGAGGAACTAAAGTCAAGAGGCAGAATAAAGGAGAGGCAGTGGGGAACTAAAGTGAAAGGGTCCTCAGTCTTGCAAAACATCTCTGAGAGAAGGGCCAGCCTTTGGAAGGGATGTGTTGATCTCTTCTGTTCACAGGTGGGCAGGGTCAGTTTATCTCTCCATTAGAAGAACAAAAGCACTTGAGCTTATAGTCAGGCCGAGAGGCCAGGTCCTCTGAGGAGGCTATTAAGTATGATTATAATAACAAGAGAAAGCTATAAAGAAATGTAGAAGACTCTTGAGAGTCCCTTGGACTGCAAGATCCCACCAGCCCATCCTACAGGAAATCAGTCCTGAATATTCATTGGAAGGACTGATGCTGAAGCTGAAACTCCAGTACTTTGGCCACCTGATGCGAGAGCTGACTCACTGGAAAAGACCCTGATGCTGGGAAAGACTGAGTCAGGAGGAGAAGGGGAGGACAGAGGATGAGATGGCCGGATGGCGTCACTGACTCAATGGACCCGAGTTTGAGTAACCTCCGGGAGCTGGCGATGGCCAGGGAGGCCTGGCGTGCTGCAGTCCACGGGGTCACAGAGTCGGACACAACGGGGCGACTGAACCGAATGACAAAAGCAACAAAGAGCCAGTCAAGAAGCAATGTCCAACCCAGAGTCAGAACTGGCTTCTCTGCAAGGTTGTCTTGGCGATAATTTATGGGGTCCTTCCCTTCCCGAAAATTCAGCATCTTTAGCCTCTCCCCGTAGTCTCTTCCCACTGTCCAGTTGTGGGTTATCATCTTTTGGATAACAGAAGAGATCCTCTGTTGGGATACATAAGATATTGGAGGTTTCTTGCAGATTTCTGCATCCTTCTAGGGTGTTACTCTATATCTTGACCGAAGTACTACCATTTCACGTAAGTCTATAAATACATAAAAATCATTAAGCTATACATTTAAGACTTGTGCACTTTATGTTATATCTAAATTTAAAAAAAGAGAGAGAATGGATGGGTAGTCTCCTGCTACACTGTATGTCCATCTGCAATGCCTGGAACTCCAGTAGTTCCCTTAGGACCATGGGGTAAGCTACCCAAAGGGGACAATCCAAGGTGCTGAAAACGGCAGGGCAGAAAACGTCTTATGATGTCACAGAATACTGAACCAACCTTGGAGACCCTCTTCATGTGGACCATTGAAATGATACATTTTTATCACAAAGGGTTATCAGCTTTTAGCCATCGCAGTGTGAAACTGTACAAAAGCTTTTGATGGTAACATAGCACAGAAAGTGAAGTTAATAAGGCTCAAGTCCACATGTAAGTAGTGTTTAATCAGACCTTTGGACAGGAATTTTACCATAAACTAGTAAGTTGAACATAAAGGAAATACAGTTAAATAGATATGTTAACTACTAAGCTTAAAAAGAAAAACAGCACACTTAAGGTGGAAATTTTTATTACAAAAGCTTAAATTCATTGGCCACTGAAAAAGAAAAAACAGTTCAAGTTCACAGAGTTGAGGGTAATCCTTCTTGATAAACATTTATACCAGAATTAGAAATTTCAGTAGAAAAATAAAATTTAAATAAGTTTCTGTCGTACAAAGATTTAATCAGTTTGACTGCAGCATTTAGTGAAATAATCTAATACAAAAAGTTAAGCTGACTTTACCACAAGCAGGGTAACAACGCACAAAACAGAAACGCAAGTACATAGAACCTTCTGTGTGTGGACAGCACCAGGACTTCAACTTCAGGAAGTGATCTCCTAGGGAAGGTTGGTGTGCACTGCAGTTGTATTAAGAACATCATTCAAACCAGAGCAGCTTTTGGAATCAAAAGCTAACATACAATTTAAAGACTTGGGAAATGTAAGGGCTTAAAGATAACTATTTGCATGAACTTTATCTCCCTAGTTTATACATTTCCTAGGTAATGTTCTGAATTAGTAAGTAGTACAATGAGACACCTTTGTCTTGGAATAGTCATTACTCTTTTGTATTGAAGTTTACATGAAATGTTTTTCTCCTAAAACCTTTATCTCAAAGAATTCAGAAATCAGCTTTTCATGGTTGGGGGTTTCTCCTTCCCACTAAAAGAAAAGTGGATGCATAGCTGGGGCAGGGATGGTTTCACATGTCTCCAGACAAGTCAGGAGTTGGCAAAACGTCCCAGAAGCTTTATGTGAAAAAATAAAATGTTGAACACAAATGCCAGTACTTTTTCATCTGAGCAACCACCCCCAAATAATTGTGCATTTGAAATGAGAAATTAAAAAGAAAAAGAAACCCTTAGGGGCGATCAACATTCCTTATAATTCAAATAGTTTCTTCCTAAAAACATTTCAAGCCACAAAGCTCAAGTTATATAAAGTCTATATTCATTTATTCACAGAATTGTTCACATACTGGGATGAATGAAACATTCAATAATCTGAAGATCCATTTTATATTTTAAGTTCTTAAAAACAGCGGATAATCAAACAAGAAACAGATGAAAACAAAGACAACTTTCAAAATGCATTAGTTCTTTTGTTTTGGCTCTAGAAGTGAAGTAACCAAACATTTAAGTCATGGATCAATATGTTGAAAGATTAGTATTTGGGGAGAGAGGCCTGCAGACCACTAGCCCACGCTCGATTTGTGAAACTCCATCCAAAGGAATGTTTTTGGTGAGAATGCCGAGACATCTTTCAGTAGAGATGAAGGAAAATTTCTTAAACTGAAGGGCTACTTTTCAAAATCCAACTATTGAACTGAAAAATGGAGTCTTGAGCTAAAGACATAAAAATCTGCTTGCAATAAAGATTTGCGCATTGGAAAGTAATCTTGTTGGGGAATTTGTAAGGATATTTGCCTGTATACAACTCCTACAATTTTTCCCCTAGTTAGAGTGTATCTATCACTGTAATTTTGATAAGTAGTCTAATGGCCTGTTATTTAAAAGAAAATGTTCACTTACTTTTTGGGATCCTTTGTAATTTTTCTCTGTGACTATCCCTGGTAAATTGATTCTCCTGGCTATTTTTAATCAGAAGCCAAAGTGAGTGCATATTGCTTTAAATCAAACAGCACTGCACCTGACCTCATGGACGGGTAGCTTCCCACTCATAATGAAAATTTCCCTTTTAAAATGTCAGATTTAATTATCAGAAACTATTTTGAAAACAGATAACAACAACTGTATTTCATACAAACCAGTTTATGTGGTTAAGGATAAAGTCAGATACTTAATTTTTGCAATCCTTTTTCTTTTGAAGGTCACAGTTTTTAGGCCTTTAGATAAAAAAAAAAGCTAGGCATTAGAAGAAAAATTAAAAGAACTAAAATTGGGTTTAAAAAAAAAACTCTGATATAAGGATATAAATTCTCTTGAAGGGAAATATAAAGAGCACAGTGGAAGGTATATCTGAAAATTAAACTTTAGGCACTTTCTGGGAGTCATACCCAACACTGTAAAACAGGCTGAAGACCCACCACTAGATAACCACATTAAGACTAGGAAATCAATAACCCCTACCTAATTCCAGTTAAAGCTGCACTTTTACAATTTTTTAAGAGCCATGAGTAAACCAAAGTCACTAAAAATGGTAACAGAATGTTTAAAGTATCTTTCTGTGTGTGTGTCTCAATGTCCAAAGATATCCTGATCAATATGGCTGAGAATTTTCCATTCGAACTATCTAATAGGGCGTGTTTCCAATTAAACTAAATAAAATCAATAGAAAACAATGATAGGAAAAGGTGGTACAGGAGTTTTGTGGAAAAAATTCTCAATTACCTAGCTTATTTTGAGAGAATGTACAAAACAGGAAATTCACACATCTTAAAATATATAAAATAATCAGAGGTGAAAATAGTTCTCCATAAAATGTCACATCATTCAGGAGTTAGCTTTTATTTCTTTAAATAGTGGAACTGAAGCCACTACTTGAGTTATAGGTTTTTGGTGTGTTTTATTTCTCCAAATTTGTTCTCAACATTACGCTCAACCAAAACCTATTTGGCACTTACTGTCATGAAGATGTGGCAAGAGTTTGCCAAATTTTAATCAAGATTAGATCAAATAAGATTTCAGTACAGTATACTGTGCTCAGAAGTAAACCAATATGTTCTACAGTTTCTCTGAAACAGGCAAGGCTGCATTTTTCTCACAGGACATTGTAAATTTCAATGTGAAGGATGCCAACAGAAGCACTGCTGACTGGGCTTGGGTAAAGATGCACCTGTAAAACTGCCTGAATTGAATATGTAAAAAGCAGAAAGAAAAGAAACTTGTTTTTTTTTTTTTGGTTGAGAACAATGAGTCCAAAAAGATCTTTAATTCCTGGAACTTCAAACTGAAGAAAGGACTGAGGTGCTGTTCTTCATACCGTTGGAAGCACTAAGAAAACGCTCCATCCCATAATGTGTTCTTGCCGAGGGTTCTGTCAGACCGGCTCACCACCGCAGCACAAGGGCGTGCGCTACAGAGTGGCTAAAATCCGCAAAAAGGAGACCACCACGACACAAAACGTCTGTCCAGCGCCCAGGGTGAGCGCTTCAAACGGAATCATTTCCTTTCCTGCTGCTCGGTACACTCCCGCAATTGCTGCACCTGTTCAAAAATTCAAGTGTGGTAAAAAATGAGAGGGGGGTTAATATAATCAGAAAAATATAGCACTTAAAACTCTAAGTAAACAAAACATAAAAAGACATTAAAAAATAAAACTAAGTAGAATGATCTATATTTTTTACATTAAAATTTAAACATTACAGAAATGTTTTTGTTTTCCCTATTCTTTTCACTGACTACTCTTGGTTTTAAGTATTCCTTATATGGTTTGCAAGTCACCAACAAATGCTTTTAGAAAAGGGACTCTTTCAAACTAAGTCTCCTAGATTTATTGAATAAAATCACCTGGAAGTCATAACCAAAATCACAAAGACTGCAATATTCACATAACCCAATTATAAACTCAAAACATCTCTTATTCCCCAGGCATGTAACAGATACCTAACAAATTCTTGGCAATAAATGATAGAAAATCCTCTGCATGAGGCTGAGCAAGAAATATTTCAGGAGCAGTCACAGGGAAACCCCACTCCCTCTTGTACTATACTCAAAGTTCCCTTCAAGAAATGGATGGAGCAAACGCCCTGAATGCCCAGATGGTCCACTGCTGTGGCCCGGGGTTCAATCCCTGGTTTGGGAACCAAGATACCACAAGCTGTGTGGCACAGCAGAAAAATAAAAGGAGGGAGGAAGAAGGAGAGCGGGACCCTAAACCCATCAAGTTGCTATTCATTCAAAGGGCTTGAGGTAAGGGATACGCCGGGATTCCTTTCTATTTCCCATGTCATTCTGTTGGCCACTATAACTTCCTACAAATTGAATAAACAGAACAGACAGACATCTGTTTCTACTCAGGTACCCTGAATTGCTCACAGGACTCAGCATTGTACTAAGAAAAGTCAAGAATTCATTCATTTGAAAAGAACAGATAGATCCAAAGTTCCCAGATAATCTCCTGACCCCACCCCAAAATGCTCCAAACAAAATTCTCCTTGGTCAGAGAATACAGCTGGGGACACAAGACAGAAAGCACAAGCACGAAACAGATTTTGAATAATGTAGGAAGATATATACTGTTTCGATCAAGTGTCAACACCTTGTACCAATGTGATATGATGGTATATTAACCTATTTGAAGCAGAAGAAAGAACAGTGCGAGTGGCAATACATACACACTGTGCTGTTAACACTACCATTTGAGAGGCATGTGTTCCATTGGGCCTCTTTGTAATTTATCTCCAGAAAAAAGTGGGTTGGGTCAGAAGAAGCTTTGAACTGGGCCCCAAAGTGGGATTTGGATGATGAAGGGAAGATAGTTAAAAGCAAACCAGAAGCAGCAGCAAAATGGGAAGGGAATAGGCTGTATGCACTATAGTCAAAGGACACAATTACTACGTGTTAGATATTCTGTTATGTGTTTTATATACACACATTATTTCATTTAGTCATCACACAGCATTGCTATTTTACCAATGAGAAATCTAAAACAGGTCCTGGGGGCTAATAATCCAGTAAGAAAACTGGAGCAGAGGCTCTCTAAAGATAGCAGTAGGTGATATAGTTAAAAATATTGTTTAAGGCCAGTTATGGAAACTCCTTAATGCAGACAGGAGAAAATTAGCCTCCCCACTGCCTTGTCACAAAAGTTCCACCATCTACAGAACTCAGAGAAACTAGGCCACCTTGTCCCCAAAAAAACCCCTAAAGTCAAAGAGACAGGGGAATTTCTGCTTGAAGTTCAAAGTTTAAAATCACAGTGAAAAAAATAATTACAAATACCAAGAAAAAAGTCTGAAAGCATATAATGAAAAGGAAACTGTGGTTACCACGTAGGAATACAATAATGGAGGATTTTTATTTTTGCTTTCTTATAATTTTTAATTTATATAAAATATACATGCTATTTTTATTTTGTTATGAGCTTAAAAATATTCTCCTCCCTGTGACATGAACAAAAGCTGCACCCCAACCCAAAAGACACCACACAGATAAAAATAATGTATAATTATGAATGTTGCTCAAACTCTTATTCAGAAAATCCTGAGAGAGAAAAAAAAAACAGGCACTTTTCTAAACAAAATTTCCTCCCTCCTTAAAATACCTATACCTGGATGAAGGGAAGTAATCGTCAACCAGGTTGCAATGCCACAAATCAGTGAAGTGACAGCTGAAGAGAAAGGAGAGTATTCTCCTTTCAAGTCAAATATTCTCTTGGTAGTGGTCAAGATCACAAGACATATCTCACAAATCTTAACGTGGCTTCCCTAAAGCCATGAGACAAAATCTGACTCAGGAAGTCAAAGATGTTAGCCAAGTAAGAGGGGACTGAGGTGAGAAGAGAACAATATATTAAAAAACAGGACCTGCAGACCAAGAACGCTCTTACTTCTTTATCCCACTCAGACATGTTTCTAAAACGGCTCCTAAAATTAACTATTCATATGAAACGTTTCGACTGTATTTTAAACGTCTAACATACTTGTCAAGATTCCAGCAGTAATTGGTCCCACGATGCCCATCAACAGGATGCTTACAGACATGAACCTACCATATTTGTGATGTCTGAGGGTGAAGAGGGCCAGTAATCCAGCGGGGACGTGAAAGAAGAGAGAAGTCACCAGTGCCCACAGGAACACACCATACCACATCTCTGCAAGGGAAAGCAAAGGAAGGGTGGACGTCACCAGCTTCCCCAGGGCGCTCACTACAAAGGCGCGGTCATTATACTCGGTTATTTCAATTTTAAAAGGATTCCGTTGCAGTGGCGGTTCATCAGTGGAATCTCCAAACACTGATGGTTTTGGAGGGGTCACTAAACCATGGCCCCCCCTGTTTTTGTGCAGAAAGTCTCAAGGGAACATAGCCACACCCATTCACTTAAGTCTTGTCTATGGCTGCTTTCAAGCTCCAAGAGCAGGGCTGAAACAGTGACAGAGACCATAGGACCTGCAAAGCCTAAAATATTTATAATCTGGCCCTTTACAGAAAAGGTTGGCCGACTCCTGACAAGCTACCCCTACTCCCAAACACGGAAGGAAAAGTTCACCCAGATTTGGAAATTCACTTGCTTGACTTCCCTTTCACAAGGACAAGTGTGAGCAGCACTGACGGCGCTGTGCGCCAAGGCCAGACCTCTGTCCTCGGCGGCTGCTGCAGAGGCTGGTGTGCACCCCACTCCCGAGGTGCCACCCTCCCCAGGTGCCTGTCAGGCCCGAGCCCCGCTGCACGCTGGCCACTCCCACTGGGGCCTCCATGGACACCATCCACGGCCAGCTCACCCCCAACCCAGGAAACGGCGCCAGGCAGCTCCCCCACCTTTAATCCCCGAGTCCCCAGCAGCTCCTCCACAAGCCAGCTAAGGGACTCGGGCTGCCCTTACAGCCCCCCCTGTGCACCAGGCTCTGTGAGGACGGGGGATGGCAGTGCCCGGGGGTGGAGGACACAGAGCCGCCGCCCAGCTGACAGCCTTGCCGTCACGGGGCTCCCGCCGGAGACCCCAGGTTTGAGAGACGAGCTCTGCTCCCCACAGCAAGTCAAGGGCCCACTAGGGCGCGGCTCCTCACTGGCTGCGGTGAACCACGCAGGCTGAACTGGGGGGAAGCCTTCATCTGCCGGAGACACAGGAAGTTGGTGACTTCAGTAAAAGTGGGTCTGGACACTCAGGTGTGCTACCCAGCTGCCATGGATGAATCCACGTGCGGAAGCCCTAATCCAACAGGACCGTGGACTTACAAGAGGAAGGCAGATTTCTCCCTGTGTGCCTCTCCTCTTTCTCTCCCCGTTGAGTGAGGACATATCATGAAGACGGCCCAAGGAGGCACTCAGCCTGACCGTGCCGGCACCCTCATCTTGCACTGTCAGTCTCCACCTCCGTAGGTTAAGTCACTCGGTCCATGGTGCTTTGTTCCAGCAGCCCTAGCGGACACCAACGCTCCCCTGTTCCCACTTCCCTGGAGCAAGGAGGCTTGCTGGGCTAGCAGCTCACATCTCAACTTTTCTAAAAGCTGAAAGGCATGTGTGCAAACAGGATCCAGTGCAGCAGGCTGGCTCCCCCTGAGTCTCTGAGGGGAAGAAGCAGTGTGCACTTTCCTACAGCCCTAAGTCGCATCCTTTCACGCTCCCACTGCCTCCACATTTTATATAGCATCACTTAAGTCACTCTAAGTAGGACAGAAAGGCTTTATCATGTTAGATGAACAGTAGAATTTATAAAACGCTTTCAGAGGGATGGAAATAATACAGAACACTAATAGCTAAGGCAAACCTCAATCAATAAAACACTTTTAAAAAGCTAAGTGATACCCCTTTAATACTACACCTTAATATGCCATCTATTTAACAGGTATTTATTGATCATCATATAGTACTTTTCATTTCCCTGGCTCTATACACTGTCAAACATCTTTGTCTATTTTACAGTATTTCCTTGTTCACTGTTTCACTTAAAGTGCATTAGCTTCAGCTTTGTTTACTCTGGCAGCTTAAGTCACATCATTTCCCCATGGTGAAGAACAAGTCAGGTTATTAACCTGAAATAAATGTTATAAGGGGAAACCAGACTAAGCACTGGTGGCCGAAGATGCCCACATCCTCAACTCCAGAGCCTATGAAAATGCGACCCGACATAACAAAAGGGAGTGTGCAGGTGTGATGAGATCAGGCATCTTGCAATGGAGGGGGGGGTGGCGGCTAGTATCTTGGATTTTATAGGTGGGCCTACTGTAATCAAGGATCCCTGGAAGAGGGTCAGAGTCAAAGAGATCTGAAGATGCTATGCTGCTGGCTTTAAAGATGGAGAAAGGTGCCATAAACCAAAGGATGTGGTGACCTCTAGCAGCTGGAAAAGACATGAAAACAAATTTTCCTTAGAGCCTTCAAAAGGAAGATGGCTCTGCTGACCCATTTGGACTTCTGACCTCCAGGACTAATAGATCTGTGTTGTTTTAAGCCACTAAATTTGTAGTGAGTTGTTTCAATAGCCACAGCAAGCTAATACTAGTACTGAGAGTTCATTCATTCAGCAAATACTTACAGAGCCCATTCCATGTCAGGCACGTCAGTGAACAAGAACAGAAATTTTAAAAAGACAGAGATCCCTGCCCAGAGAGTGCCTGTATCTTTAAGCATATTCTGCAGACTGGCGTTTGAGTTGAACAGAAGGGCCACACAGCAGACCTGTCCGGGGGGCTCTGTCTCCCTGGCCCCCTAGCCTCCACAGTTGAGTCCCCTCACTTCCAAGCGAGGGCTCAAGGCCAAACTGGCCCTAGTCAGCAGAGACAGGAGTGCAGAACAGGCGGGCAGAGGCCTGGCGCCCAGCCGTCCTTCCAGCCTGCCCCGCTCTGCCCCGTTACAGGTCAAACAACTGTGAGAACACAGTCGGTGCCTGGGTAGCCAGGGTTCCAAGTTGACCACCCCAGTCCTGCAACTCCGCGCTGGCCTGCCTAGATGCTAAGTGCCCATCGGCCTGTGTCTTTCCACACTGCCCACTGTGAGACCCCTCTCTTACCCACTCCCACCTACCTGCCAAGGGATCCATCTGTTTCCTTGTGAAATACTAATACAAATCTATCTGGCCTCTACTCCTGATGCCGAAAACCCTTGAAGATAATGGTGCTAGGAAAATCTTTTTTTCTAAGACTTAATCTGTGACACTCCTGGTTCCAGGAGTGTCTTTTGTTCTCATAAAGCAACTCTTGGTGGGCTCCTTGATGGGCAGTGGTCACCAGAAAGGCCAGGCCATGATTGAAAGCTTGGAACCTTCAGCCCCACTCTCCATTCTCAGGAGAGAGGACGGGGCTAGAAGCAAGTTAATAATCAGTCATGCCTAAGTGATGAAGCCTCCATAGATAATTCAAAAGTATGGAGTTCAGAGAGCTTCTGGGCTGGTGAAGACATCTATGTGCTGGGAGGGTGACCAACCCCAGCTCCAAGGAACAGAAGCTCCTGTGCTCGGGGACCCTTCCAGACTTCACCCTGCCGATCTCTTTATGTGGTGTTCATTTCCATCCTTTAACATCTTTGGGAACATATCAGTAACCTAGTAAGTAAACTGTTTTCCTGAATTCTGTAAGCTGCTCTAGTATTTTTAATCGAAAAAGAAGGAAGACATGGAAACCTTAGCTGGTCAGAAACACATTCGAGAACCTGAACTTTGACTGGCATCTGAAGTGGGAGGTTGGGGCAGTCTTGTGCAACTGGGCCTTTACCCTGTGGGACTGGAGGCCAGCTCCAGGCAGACAGTGTCAGAGCTGAACTGAGTTGTAGGACACCAACTGGTGTCCAGAACCGCTTGGTGCGTAGAAAAATGACATCTGGCGCCAGAAGTGTTGTGAGCGCAGTGGCAGCGCGAGAGTAAAGGGAAACCGAGTTTTTTCGAGACATCCTTCCTCTCCTAACAAGGAGGACTGGCCCACCAGGACTCTCAACTGTAGCCTGCCACCTCTCTCCCGAGGCCACTGCCTAACTGCCCACTTAGCCCTGGTTTCTGAGTGGGCCCTTCTGGCCTGCCTCAACCTTAATGGTCTCTTGGACTGAGCCCCGGCTACCTCTTATCTGCCCTAATCTGGCCTTTCATCTGTTCTCCACACGAAACCAGAAAGTCAGTGCTAATGGGGACAAGGTTTCTTGTTGGAGTGATGACAACATTCTCAAGTTGCTTTTATGATGACTGCAAACTCTGCAAAAAATCATTAAATTGCATACATGAAAAAGAAAAAAAAAGTGAATCAGATCATCCTTCCTCTGCTCAAAACCCCTGGAATACAGCTTCAGGGGATCTGACCTCACTCCCCTCCCGTCGTGCCCACACTGCCCCTCCCACTGCACTGGCCTCCTTCATGTTGCTGCAGCAAGCTCCCGTCCCAGGGCCTCTGCACCTGCTGCCCCTTGCCCAGAATGCCCGTCTCCGGACAGCTGCGTGGTAGTTCCTCATTCCCTTTCAGATTTCATCTCCGATGGCATCATCTTAGAGGGCTCCCTCATGATCTCAAGTAAAACAAGCATTCCACTTGACACTCAAGACGTACCCCTTACTATCCCTCTGCCCAATCTTACACTGTCTGTTCCGTTTCATATTTTTATTTATTTTGCCATTTTGCAAGGCATGCGTGAACTCAGTTCCCTAACCAGGGACTGAACCTGAGCCCCCTGCAATGGAAGTGCTGGACTGCCTCCTTTCCATACTTTTAAATTTTGTTTTCTCTTTCCCCTTTAGAATGAAAGTTCTTTTGTTCTGTTCACTAACACACCTTTACTTGGTGCCTGGAAAACAACAGACACAAGATAGACACTGAGTAAATCTGCAGACTGGATGAGGAAATGACTGAGCTAAGTGTGACCTATTTTTGATTCCAGCAACGGCACAACCAAAACATTAGTGGGTTTTAGTTTATCAGAAGGTACACTCTGGGGAATTCCTTGGTGATCCAGCAGTTAGGACTCTGTGCTCTCACTACTGAGGGCCCAGGTTTGATCCCTGAGTCCAAGAACTAAACTCCCACAAGGCGTGTGGTGTGGCCAAAAAAAAAAAAAGAGAGAGAGAGAGAGAAGATATACTTTGATATTGAAAGTATTAATATAATGAAATTCATACCTTTAGAAAGTGAATTTTATTCCTGATACAAGGTGGGGAGAATAATTTGCCTTTCTCAGCATTCAGATTTGTTAAAAATGACCACCAAAGAAATCTGAACTACTTGGAATAAGAAGGGTTAGGCAGAAACCTAAAGGTCTAAACTGCAAATGCAGATTTAAAAAAATCAATTCAAAGCTTCCTGACAGCAATAAACCACAGAGTATTTAAGAGCAATGACTTTGCCATACTGAGTTGGCATAAAATGCAAGTAACCTCTTCTGTGGGGCCCAAATAGAAACAATTCCAGAATCAGGACAATAAATGAAATTCATGGTCAGCAGGTTTTGGTGCCTCAGAAAGGATTACACTTTATGTACCTATTGAATCCGTCATTCCAGCTAAAGAAGAGGCACAACAGGGAGGTTACATGTTTACCCGTGTGTTTACACATCACATTCCAATCAACTTGTGTCCATGGGCTGTGCATGTTTGTAACTCCAGCCCAGAGTCTGCACTTGATCAGTAAATATGTCCTGCATGAATGAGCCATGGTGATCACTACACCCAAGTTATATATCCACTGAAGTACCCATAAACTCAAGTACAGACTGCAGTTTAATATTTCAGAACAATTCCTGAAAGGAAAACAATATGCTTAGCTACAGATTCTCTACTATAACATAGTAAAACTATTGTCCCAAATCCACTTACCTCAATCTTTTTTTTAAAAGAGGCAGCTGAAAGCCAGAGAGACTGAACAAAATGTTCAGTTTCAAAATATCACCTCACATATGACTTATTGATTAGGTAACCTTATAGTGGAGAGATCTGATAAACACCATCTTCACCAAATGATTAAATTTTGTGTTATCAATAAAGGGACAAACTGACATGAAATGTCTCCTAACGTGGTGCTCTGGGAAGTAGACATCACCTATGTACATCATCCTGAACAAAAATGTTTAATTTGAATCTAATCATGAAGAAATAATCAGATAACTTAGACTACATGACAGTCTACGAAACACTTAGCCTGCTCTTCAAAAATGTCAAGTCTCGATAAACTGAAACAAAGATGGAGGAACTATTCTGGATTCAACAACACTAAAAAGACAACCATATGCAATGTGTAATCCTTGATTGGATCCTGGAATTTTAGGAAAAAAAAGGTATAAATGGCATTATTCAAACTGAGTATCTTTCAATAAGGCCTATACATTAGATAATATACTACCGATGTTAAATGCTTTAACACATTCCAGTGCAATGTGTTTTTCTAGGCTGTGGCAGAAAATGTCCTCATTTTAAATGATACATGCTATAAAGCATTAGCTGTCAAGCGCCACTATTTGTGCAACTTCCTTTCAAAAGGCTCTGCAGAAAGTAAACATATTATGCACACGCATATATATACATTTAGACAGAAAGCAAAAGAATCGAAATGTTAATAATGAACCTAAGTAAAGGATATATAGGTATCTGTTACACTATCATTTCGATTTTTCGGTAGGTTTGAAAATTTTCCAAATAAAGAGTTGTGAGAAAAGTAACCGACCAATCCGGTCCAGTAGAGCCTTCAGACTGCATGAACGTTTCATTTTCTGAACATGGTCTCCAGAATGCCATGTATTTCTATTGTCATTGTCAAATGTGATCTTAGTATCTTGTGATACCTTTCGCCAGATGATCATTATAGGCATGATTTCAAGCTAACACCCGCGTCTGCCTCAACGTGATTTTTAATCTAATTAACTACTTCACAGACCTGTAGGGGACAATATTAGAAAGGTAATACATAGCAAGTCCCTGGTGTCCGCTGAATGGCGCCTAGCAGTCGCTGCCCAGCGGATGAGAAATCACAGGTGCCTTGTTTACCAGTTTTAACTGTAGTCAGTAATCCAACCCTCCTTCTTTTGCAGGTCTCAGGCCGGTTCTTGTACAGTTTACTAAGTGAAAGTATCTGTCAGCTTTGCTGGAGGGCCCTACCTCACCCTTCAAACACCCCTGATCTCAGTCTTCCTGCGTTTAAAAGGACCAACACATAGCCCTACTCTCCACTCCAAAGCTTTATTTTCAGCCTTGCCAAGTAATTTTTCCTCCTCTCGTTTTCTGAGCCCGATAGCTTTCTATCTCGATTACTAAATTTGAAAACCTCTGCTCTCAAGCGCAGCCGAGATAAGTGGGATAAGAATCAGAGAGGAGCCGTGTCGACGTTCTCGAACACAGGAGTCGGAGACTCGGCAACAGGTTTCCAGAAAGGGATTCCTAGAAAGAGAGGCTGGCGGAGAGGGTGGATCTGGACGTGGGTGGCAGCGATCGGCAGACAGCCTCCTGGTGCAAAGGCTGGGCTACCTACCCTAGGCACAGTGGGTGCCTGAGTTCTGACCGACGGCCCTCAGACCGGCCGGGACGACGCACCGTCCGAGGCAAGAAAGCCCAGAGGCCGGGGCGGACGAAAGGTGCTGAGATCACCCAGCGCTCCCCCGCAAGCCAAAAGGAGGCGATGACCGCCTCCCGTGCCCCAGACGAGGAGGGGCGGCCGCCACCAGGGCGCTGCCGAGTTCCCGCCTGAAGCCGGGGCGTTTGGGAACTCCAGAGAGCAGGACGAGCTCGGGGGGAGGCCGAGTTCCCCTCACCGACGGGGCCCACCACGGGATCGGGGTGGCCCGCCCGAGGGGCCCGCGGCGAAGCGGTGGGGGGAGGCGGAAGAGCTGCCGCCCCCAGCTCTCGGCCGACGGAGAGCCGACCCCTCCCACAAGGAAGTCAGCCCCGGAGCGCGGCCGCAGAGCGGCCGTACCTGGGAAGGAGCAGAGCGAGGTGGAGTTGGGGCACAGCGTCCCGTTGCCCACCCGCGGCACCAGCTTCAGGCTCAGGATCTGCTGCAGGAGCCCTGCCGACGCCCCGCTGCCGCCGCTCCCCTCGCGTTCCATCCCGCCGCCATTCACCGCAGAGGGCTGAGGGAGAGCGCCCGAGCGGCCGCTGAGAGAGAGGGCCCGAGGGGCCGCTGAGAGCGTCCGAGATGCCGCCGCGGCGCCTGGTCGCGTACCGCTCGCTCCGCTCCCCACACCTCCGCGGCCTGCGCGTCACCTTCGGCCGCGGCCCTCTTCCTCCTACCCCAACGGCCCTGCCAAGTGACGGCTCCTTCCTCCAATCACGGGGCGCTGCCGACGGCAGGGGCGGGGCGAGCGTCGTTCCCGCCCCTGACGTTGCGTACGGCTCTCCGAGACCTGGCCCCCTACGGGCTACGCCCCCTACTGGAGAAGTCGCTCCTGCTCCGGTGGGGCACGGTCGGCTCTGTCCTTTTCTACAGCGCCACCTAGAAGAAAGGAGTGGGACTACATATAGAGAGGGAGAAGGGCTTTCCAGGCGGCGCTAGTGGTCAAGAATCTGCCTGCAATGCTGGAGACACAGGTTTGATCCCTGAGTCGGGAAGATCCGCTGGAGGAGGGCATGGCAGCTCACTCCAGTATTCTTGCCGGGAGAATCCGTTGGACAGAGGAGCCTGGCGGGGTGGCGGGCTATACAGTCCATGGGGTAGCAAAGAGACTGAAGCGACCCGTCATACTACAGCACAGAGGAAGGGAGGGAGGTAGATAGACGGATGATAGATTATGGTTAGATAGACAGGTAGACACACATAGAGGTAGGTAGGTGGGTAGAAAGATAAATACCTACATACATATGCATCTGGCAATGAGAATCAGATGGTTCAGCAACCAGGTGAAAAAAGCTGGAAGACCTTCAATACCTTCAATATTTGGAAGGAAAAAGATTTTGAGAGAAAACTTCACTTCAAATTAAAAAAGATTGTGTACAACGTAAGGAATATGTCGATAATGTTGTAATGACTTACTACAGTGGCCATTTCACGATGTGTACAAATGTCATATCACTGTGTGTGCCTTAGTCCCTCAGTCATGCCTGACTCTTTGTGACCCCATGGACTATAGCCCGCCAGGCTTCTCTGTCCATGGGATTCTCCAGGCAAGAATACTGGAGTAGATTACTATTCCCTTCGCCAGAGGAACTTCCTAACCCAGGGATCGAACCCTGGTCTCCTGCATTGCAGGAAGGTTCTTTACTGTTTGAGCTGCAGGGAAGTCCCCGTGTAGTACACCTGAAACTCACACAATAGTGTTGGTCAACTATATTTCAATAAAAGGACTGAAAATACAAACTCCAGGAAAAACACAAACCTACAAAAATTATGAAGCAAATATAAAGCAAACAAAAACTTTGTGTGTGTGTGTTTTTTAGACACCCACCACCTCCTTGTTTCACTCATAGTGAGATGAAGAATTCTAAAACTTTCAGAAGACAGTGTTGAATATCTTTGTCTCATGATGTGAGGGGGTTCCTAGACATAAAAAGCAAAGACCATAAAGGAAAGGATGTGTAAATTTAATTAAGATCTTGTGTTATTCAAGAGTTCATTAAAAAGCATTGAATACAAAATACATTATGTTTTCCTTTTAATTCAAGGACATTAACAACATTGTTAATTAGAGTTCCCTCTTGAAAGCCTTGGTTTTTGAAGCTTTCTGATACCAATTCTCTAACACTACAACTGGGATTTTGCCTCAAACAAGAAACTTTTCTAAAACAAAAACAGTAAGCATTTTTTAAAGTCATAAAATATTTAACAATGCTGTCTTTTGGTACATTTCCCAGACTAGCAGAGTGTAAAAGAAGTGGAAGAAACCAATTATTTTAAGATTATATAACAATCAATGATGCATCATATCAGGAAACATTATTTTGAATTTAGAATTCTATTCTCAGATTGTGAATTTAGAAATTTTTAAAAAGCCATTTAGACTTGTAGAACTCAGAAAAATGTATCTTTTTTTTCTTTAGAAAATGTATCTTTTACATGACCTTTCTAAGGGAAGCTGAGTATGTATTCCAATGAAGTTAAAGAGTGATGACTAAGAGAAAGATGGGCCAAAAAAAAAAAAAAATAGTGGATTTAACCAGGAGTCTTAGATGGACTTCTGTGCAACAGTACTAGTAGCCACCTAACCAGATAGGAACAGAAGGAGGAATATCCTCAGGAAAAATAATATAGATTTCAGCAACAGACAAACTGATTAAGAATCTCACAATTTTAAGAACACGGTGAAGAAGGTACCGTTTCTTCTCTCAGTGGGGGAAAAAAAAAAATCTAAAAAACAACACAACTTCAGGAAAAACACAAACTTGCAAGAAAATTATGAAGCATATATAAAGCAAACAAAAACTTGGTGTGTGTGTGTGTTTATTTTTTAGCCACCCACCACCTCTGTTTCACTTACAGTGAGATGAAGAACTAAAACTTTCAGAAGACAATGTTGAATATCTTTATGTCCATGATGGTAAAGGAGTTCTTAAACTAGATACAAAAAGCAAAGACCATAAAGGAAAGAATGGGTAAATTTAATTACTTTAAGGTCTTGTGTTATACAAGGGTTATCACAAAGAAAATATAAAGACAAGTCACAAACTGGGAGACAATATCTGAAATACAAATCACTGACATAGGAGTGGCATTCAGAACATATCAAGCACTTATAAAAATCAATAAGAAAATGACAAAAGACCTGCATAGAGAAATACAAGTGGCCAACAAAAATATTAATAGGAAAAGATACTTAACCTCATTAATCAGTGAAACACAAAATGAATCACAATGATATGTCACTTGTCAACCACCCAACAGCCAAAAATTTTGAAGTCTGAGAATGCTGATTGCTATTGAGGTTGTAGGGCAGCTGGAACTATGGAGGCATAAACAGATATATGCATGCTCAATTGTGTCGACTCTTTGGGACCTCATGGACTGTAGCCCACCAGACTCCTCTGTCCATGGGATTGTCCAAGCAAGAGTACTGGAGTGGATTGCAATCTCCTCCTCCAGGAGGAAACTCCAGGGTCAGGATCTTCCTGACTCAGGGACCAAACCCATGTCTTCTGCATTGCAAGCAAATTCTTTACCACTGAGCTACCTGGGAAGCCCATAAATAGATAACAACCATCTGGAATAATGTTGAATGAAGATACTCATGATCTACCTATTTAGCTCCTAGGCAAATATCCTACAGCATTGGTACCAGAAGATAGAGACAAGATTGTTCCTAGTAGCACTGTAACAATGAATGTGTGTTGCTTCAGTTGTGTCCAACTCTTTGTTACCCATGCACTATAGCCCACCAGGCTCCTCTGTCCATGGAATCCTCCAGGCAAGAATACTGGAATGAGTTACCATTTCCTTCTCCAGGGGATCTTCCCAACTCAGGGACTGAACCTGGGTCTCCTGCATTGCAGGCAGATTCTTTACCATCTGAGCCACCAGGAAAGCCCAAATATTCCATTAGGTAGGTAAAAATGAAAATTATTTACCTCTTTATAGATGATGGGGGGAGCTCAGTAGAAAAGGGTGACAAGGGCATTCCTGACACCATTCCAGAAAGTATAAGTTGGTACTTCATTTTTGGAGTAATTTGGCATTTTCACATTTAAAAGATGGATGCTGTTTGATCCAGCAGTTCTATTTCTAGGAATCTTTACTATAGATACACAAACTCAGTCATCTCCTGGGGTCCTCTCCCACCACGAGCTTGGATTCCCAGGAGTGAGTCTTTTATTTTGTCAAGGAAACTTGATTCCAAGGGGACCAATCCCTCAGTCACTTTCTGCCTCTTCATCCTGTGTTCAATGAACTCCTATCCATCCTTCATTTGAACCAAAAATTTCTCTTCAAAAATGTTTTCCTGACTGTCCACAGTAAAGTAGGCCACCCTCTACCCATTCTTATTATTTATTCTTAGAGCACAATCAACAGTTGCATATTTATTTATAGGACTTTTTATTTAGCGTCTGCACTCCCCACCAGAACAAAGGCTTTGACTATTCTGTTCCAGGGCCTGACCCAGGGCTAAGTCATGAAAACACTGGACTGGGCGCTGTCTTTGTCCTGAAACCTTAGCTGGGTTCACCTAGGGGCTTGCTGGAAACCTGCTGTGCCCTGCAGCTCTTGCAGAGACTTGTCCAGAAGGCCCCATATACAGGCAGCAACATCTGAGAGCCAGTCATTGGCATCCTGGAACCTCAGGAGACAGGTGAGGAGTGGGTCACACAGCAAAAGCCTCTCACTGTGCTGTCGCCGGGACAATCTGTGACCCTGGCAGGGACAAACGAAACTTGTGGATGCCAGGATCAGGCTGGGCTCCGAGCCCCAACCCAAATGCCTTCCTGGATCCCACTCGGGATCGGTGACTGCATGTCAGCCTCTGGCACCATGAACCTCTGGTTCATGGACTTTCTTTGCCCAAACATAGCACATTGCAGATTTCCCAGCTGACTCCTCCACTTAACCATGTGCTCCTTCCAGGTGGGGCCAGGAGTCTGCTTTTATCCCCAGAGGCTATCCTGGGGTGGGGGGGCCACACATGGGGAGGAAAGGGGCCGGTGGCAGGGGCCCCATTAACCCAGCCCACTGCCCACCTTGAGATGTTTGCAGCTCAATGCCAGGACAGAGGCGATCATTTTGCAACATTTAAAAATATCGAATCACTATGTTGTGAACCTGGAACTTACATAGCACTATAGGTCAATTATATAACTAAAAGTACAATAAAATTTTGGAGAGAAGATGAGAAGAGATGGAGGCATTAAATCTCCATCTCTTAGAACATTTTTATTTTATTTTTGGCCATGCCATGTGGCTTGCAGGATCCTATTTCCCCCATCAGGGACTGAACCCGGGCCCTTGGCAGTGAGAGCGCAGAGTCCCAACCACTGGACAGCCAGAGAATTCCCTCATAACATTTATAAATTTTAAAATTGTGTTTTTTTCCTCTTTTTATTGTATCTATCTGAGGTGGCTGATGTTAATTAAACCTAGTATGGTAATCATTTCCCAATATAGGTAAATCAAACCATCACGCTGTACACCTTAAACTTATAGAATGATGCACGTCAATTCTTCCTCAATAAAACTGAAAACAAAAAAACCCAAAATGTCAGGACAGCTCCTTGACCCACATCTTGACCCACATCTCTGGGTAATGATATGGCTTTTGAAGCCTGTGATGGAGTCTTCTGCTCCATCCCCAGCTCAGTTTACTTGCTAGAACCGTAAGCATTGAAGTCAAAGATGTAAGTTTTTGAGTTCCAGCCCATATATTAAGCCATGTGACCCTAGCCTAAGTCATCAATAAATTCTGCATTTTAAATACCTTCTTCTATTGTGAGAAGGGGCAGATGGAAGCTTTAGAGGGCCTGAAGTTTCTACAGCTAGACGGGTCCTTAACTGAGGCATCCTGAAGTTTCGGCTTCAAGGTCAGTATCCATCTGCTCCCTGCGAGGAAAGAAATGGAAAGTGCCAGACTGCCCTTGACCTGCCTGCTTTGCAGTGAGGATGTGGGTCTACAATCCAGGTCCCACCAATCCAAGGCCACACCAGGCTGAGAAGGGGAAGCCAGCAACCTCCAGAATCCCTCCTGGTGACTGATGGCCTCAGTGAGAGCAGCTCCCTCCCTCCCAGCGGGAGCAGGCTTAGGTGTTCTGGTGGCACCTGTCAGTCCGCAGACCAGCTCTCTATTCAGGTGTGACGGGTATTCTATTTGTGTGGACTCCAATCTGCTCCCCTGTCCTTCCCAGAGGTTCTGTGACCCTTCTCCCTCATTTTCAACATTTTTTGAGCACTTGTTGGCTTTTATTTCCTGAATTCAAGACTAGCTCTTACATATCCGGCATCCTCCCCTTTCGCCTACCCCCCACCTCCGTTTTTAAAATCCAGCCTCTGTTTCATAAGACCCTCTGCTGGTGGAGCCAGGTGCTGTAGCTTGCAGCTAGGAATCGTATTTTGTTCTCCTCCAGGGCCTGGCAGAGAAGGACCACAGGAGCACAGCCACCCTAGAGCCTTTTTTCTTTCAAGCTCCTGGCAAGCTTTATCTAGTTACACCCACCCCGTGACTTGCCCTCCAGGCACTGATCTTGCTGCCAGCCTCTTGCTCTGCCACACGCTCTGCCTGGCTTGCTGCCCGAGCCTGTCCAGCCTTCTTTCCCTCCACTTTGTCTGCTCACTGCCTCCCTCCAGGCTTATCCAGGAAGCTCCCTAGATTCTGCACTCTGAACCCCGAGCTTACCACTTCCCACATCTCACCTCGCAGCTGCGGTCCTAGCTACAGCCAACTGCTGAGCCCTTGGGCGAACAGGATGGGAAAATCTGACCCTTCTTGGTCCAGGAGACAGGTCTCTGCAAGCCTGATGCACCCTCTCCTCCCCACTGTGGTCCCAAAGCAAACTTCCCTCTCTCTCTTCATCTTCCTTTTCATCCTGTAGCTTTGGACAAGTCTCTTCACTTTTGCATTTTGCTTCTCCAACTTTACAGGCCATAAACTCTAATTTGTATCATACAGGTTAAATATGTTTATTTCTGTAAGTAGGAGCTTTCCCATCAGGAATAATCAAAGGTTCACCTTACTTAGGCAGGTGATGGGGTCGTGTGGGCTCCTGGGAGATTGGGTCAGAGAGAGACTAAGGGGAGACCCCAAGATAGAGGCTTGGCTGATTTCTTGCTGAAGATACAGATGAATATAAAAGCATTGGCTTTGGTGGCACATGGTGCCAGAGGATTTGGGGGAACAGAGTCTGGGGGGGGGTGCCGTGGAGGGGGAGATGTACTGACTTCAGGGGCCAGCTGGCCACAGTATCCCTCCAGTCCTAGGTAGGGCTGGGCCAGCCTTCTCAGCTGCAGGATGAGGCATCCTGAGGGAGACTGAGAAGGAAAGTGCTGGAGAAGGAGCCAAGTCGTCACAGAGTCTGGGGCGGGTGCCGTAGAGAGGGAGATGTACTGACTTCAGGGGCCAGCTGGCCACAGTATCCTTCCAGTCCCAGGTAGGGCTGGACCAACCTTCTCAGCTGCAGGATGAGGCATTCTGAGGGAGACTGAGAAGGAAAGAAAGCGCTGGAGAAGGAGCCAAGTCATTTGAACTTATTCCCTGTGCCCAGAAGTGGGGGAACCAGTCTGCTTTCTATGAAGAGTGTTCCTGTGGGTAATTCAGCTCCTACGTGCTGTTGATTAATCACTTCAGTCACGTCTGATTCTTTGCCCCCATGGACTGCAGCCCACCAGGCTCCTCTGTCCATGGGATTCTCCAGGCAAGAATGGTGGAGTGAGTTGCCATGCACTCCTCCAGGGGATCTTCCCGACGCAGGGATCGAACCTGGGTCTCCTGCACTGCAGGCAGATTCTTTACTGCTGAGCCACCAGGGGAAACCATTCAGCTCCGAAAGAGGACTCGAAAGAAAGAGAAGTGGGCAGAAAGAAACTAGTTTGGGAACTCGGTCCTGGCCTGCTACAGGTGGGACCTCCCAAACTCTGGGCCACCGCATGCCCAGCCCCTTTGGCCCCACGCGTGGGTCTCCTGGCCCTGGTGACCGCCAGCCCCAGCTGGGGGCCTCTGCTACGGCCCGGGGCGCTCGGCAGTGGACGAGGCCCAGCTGAAGCTGCTCGGGCCGCGCGGCAGCACCAGGTCCAGGCTGAGGTCGCGCTGCTCGTCCTCGGAGAACACGGGCCGGTAGCCCAGCAGCTGCAGCGCGCCAGCACACAGCTCCTGCACACGGCGGATCTTGGAGAAGGGCAGGGCGTGGCGCCAAGCCTGCGAGACGTTGAGCGCGTCCCTCGACGTGGTCTTGAAGGCCTCGCGGCGCGCGCCGGGCCCGACGCCGTGCGTGATGTTGTGGATCCAGGCTTCGAGCTGCGGCGTGAGGCTCAGGCCCGCGAAGGCGTACAGCTCTCGGATCTCGGGCAGCGGCGCCCGCGCCAGGTCCTCGAAGCGCACCAGGCGGTAGCGGCCGCGCAGGGCGGGCGGCGGCTTGCGCGTGGCCGCCTCGGCGATGCGCACGTGGCTGCGACACACCTCCCGCACCACGCGCAGCTCCGGGTCGGCCTCCACCCACTTGCCGTTGGTGCCCAGCACGATGCCGTTGTCGCGTGCCAGTGCCTTGGCTGTCTGCTCGCGTGAGCGCAGCACGGCGCGCGGGTCGCGCACCAGGTGCACGATGCGCAGGCGGAGCGCAGGGTCGCTAAGCAGCGGGTAGAGCACCTGCAGGTTGAAGAAGCGCACCTCTTTGAGCACCACGTGGCTGTAGGAGCGGCAGGCCTCCTGCGCCAGGCCGAAGGGCCGCCGCGCGCATAGCGGCTTGCACACCGCCTCGCTGCTGATGGCACCGCGCGGGAAGGCGCTGCAGGCGGGCGGCGAGCACAGCGCCCGGCTCTCCGCCCACTGGAAGAGGTCCGACAGGTTGCGCCTCCACGGCAGGTAGGCGTCGAACACGTCCATATCGCACAGGAAGACGGAACGCACCAGGTCGCGCACCGCCATGTGGAGCGCCAGGGCGCTGCCCTGCGACAGGGCGGCCCACACGTGCCACGCGGGCTCCATCAGGTAGAAGACGTCGGGGTGCTGACTGAAGAGCTGGCCCACGAAGGACGAGCCCGATCGCCACGAGGACAACACCAGCACGTGCACGCGCTCCTCGCCGCTCGCCGGGGGCGGCAGTCTGGGCCGGGAGACCAAGAAGAGCAGGAGGCCGGTCTGCGCCAGCAGGAGCGCGGTCACCGCCGTGCTGGAGACGCGCCGCAGCCACATGCCGCCGGCCGGAGACCTGCAGACGGAGCGGGCAGTAGCCGTCGGGGACCAGGGGCTGCTCGCTCATCCCACATCCCGTCTGGGGATGCCAGAGAGCAGCCCTGGAACATGCCCACCGCCCCAGAGAGTCCATCCCACTGGGGACCTCCCAAGTAAGGAGCGCGACTTGAAGGCATGAGCAGTCTTCACAGAGCCAAAGGCCAGCTCCACAAGACTATGGGCAATGATTTTCCATTTGTCTCTCTTTCTCTCTTGCAGCCCTTTTCTTTCTCCAGGGGCAACATATATGTAAAACGGAAGTCCTGCTATTTGCTTAAAATTCTTATAGGGGAGCAATTTTAGGTTGTTTACCTAAATAGCTTGCTGGGTGATTTAGCAGAGCCTTCCCAACTCAGCCCCTTCCTAGTCTGTGATCTCGGACCAGATGCTTCGTTGCTCTGTGACTCAGTTCACCCATCTGTAAAGGGGGTTCATCGTGGTCCTGGAGTACTGGGATGAGCCCTGAGGGCCGGGGCATGTAGTAACTCTCATCACCAAAAACTTGCACTTTCTGCGTAGTGTGCTTCTGCATTGTTTGACTTTTTAAATAAGCAGATATTACTTTTGCTATTAAAAATAAATAGACAACAGCAAGCATTGCTCTCACCCACGGAGAGTGAAGTCCTACAAGAAGCACGGATTCCCAAGGGAGGATGTCCTTCTGGATTGCTGGGAGTTGGCAGAAGGAACCAGCTAAGGGAGCGGTAGGACGGAGCCAGAGGAGGGGAGAGATGAGGGCAGGCCCCTTTCCATGGTTACTTACGGCTGTCCCGGGCTGCTGGGAGGGCTGCCCACCTCGATCACAGATCCATGGGAGAGGCCTGGAGGTTTTTCAGGGCCTGGAAGGCAGGAGAGGGGCTGGGTCAGACAGCCCTGGACGCTGGGAGGGCTCTGTCTTCCCAGACTGACAGAAGTCCCCCTCAGGTGGGAGTCTAGTTGCCCTTCCCCTGGCTGGAGCTGGGCAGGGACGAGCAGCTGGCTGGATACATTTTCCCAGATGGACGTGAAATGAAAGTCTCTCCTGCTGGGTTTGAGTCCCTCTGATGCCGCTCAGGAGCTGGGAAACCTGGGGCAAACGACTTAAGTTCTCCAAGACTCAAGTTTCCTCCTCTGTAAAATGGGGATGATAACATTTTGACGTTAAGGTTGTCAAGGGGAATGCTGCTGCAAACACGTATGAGGAAAGGGCTTGGTAAAGCGCCACACATGCCCCTTGTTACTGATGTAGTGGTCAGCTGTGTCTGAGAGGAGGAACCATGGGGAGTCTACCCAGAGAAGACCCCTGAGGTCACCTATGCTTGGAATCCCAGCATCTCCCAGGCCCCCTGCAGCCCCCAAACCCGCCAGAGTCCTTTAGTGGATCTTAAGAATGTCCCGGGGTGCAGAGGGAAGGATAAAGTGGGGGACTGAGACTGACATAAACACATAAAAGAGATGACTAATAAGGACCTGCTATAGCACAGTACTCTGTGATGACCCAGATGGGAACAGAGTCTAAAAAAGAGTGGGTATGGACAGAATCACTGATTCATTTTGCCATACAGCAGAAACTAACACAACACTGTAAATCAACTATACTCCAATACCAACTAATTAAGAAAGACTGTCCCACAGAGTGTCCTCCAGAATGAAAGGGACACCGAGCCCAGCCCCCACACCCCCAGATCCCAGAGTTTTCTGCTCTTTGCACTGTTCTTCCTGCAGCCATCTCCAGGATGAGCCGCTCGGGAGGGGAAGGACCTGGAGGCTTCCTCTTTCCTTTCACAGCATTTGCTCCCCACCAAGACGCCTTCACTGGCCATGTCACCACTGAGGGCAGCTGGTGTCTAGACTGTGAGCGCAGAGCCCCCATAGACACCCCACTTGTCAGGGGCCAGCAGGATGCCCAACAGCTCTTGTTTCCTGCTTGGTACCTCCCTGGGTCCCCCGGAAGACCTGGGCAGCAGCCACCCGCCTGCTCTGCACACGTTACCCCCTCTGCTCGAGGGTGTGCTTCCCAAGAACAGGGTACAGGAGCGGGAGGAAACTCTGACTCCTCTTTACTGACATATATTACCTCAAGGGCTAGGTGATTTGGGGCTACCTTGGCGGCTTAGTGGTAAAGAACCCACCTGCTAATGCAAGAGACGCAGGTTCAATCCCTGGATTCGGAAGATCCCCTAGAGAAGGGAATGGCAGCCCACTCTAGTATTCTTGCCTGGGAAATCCCATGGACAGAGGAGCCTAGTGGGCTACAGTCCATGGGGTCATGGATGCAACTTAGCAACTAAGTAAGCATACAGCTAGGCGATTTAACACAACAGCCCCTGAGGTGGGCATTATGATCTCAGTTTTTTTAGTTTAATTTATTTATTTTGGCTGCAGCACTCAGCTTGTGGGCTCCCAATTTCTTGACCAGGGATCAAACCCAGACCCTCGGCAGTGAAAGCTTGGCATCCCAACCACTGGACCACCAGGGAATTCCCTATGATCTCAATTTTTTAGACGAAGGACCCAAGGTTTGCAGAGACAGCAAGGGACCCCAAACCAGGACTTATTTCGAGGTTTCTGGCACTTTCTGATCATAGGCTGCTGGCCTCTCCTCTGGTGCCGGGACATCCTGCAGAACACAGGGCCTCGATACTTGGGCCCAAACACAGGTGCCCGGGCTCGCCTCACCGTCCCCTGGTAAGGAGGATCTTACCCCCAGGCCAAGATGCTTGTTACCTGCGCTCCAGGGATGCCAGAGGTCTTCTTAAGTGACTCACACTATACAGGAACTGGTATCTGATCCTCCAATTGGAACTCCAGAACTAGGAAGCAGATGGGAACATCCTGCCCACGCACGGTGTCCAGAGAATCCAGGCCCCAGCTGGGAGTTTTCTGAGAAGCCACCTTACATTCAGCATACCACCAACTGGCCCAGGGTTCAAGTGAGGAAGAACATGTCAAGCAGGCACTGGGATGTGTATTTTATCTTCTTGATTGAATTTTATTCTTCCCAAGTCCCTAGAAGGTAAAAGTCATCCTGTGTGTTTTAGTTGAGGCAATGGGGCTTAGAGACATGAATATACAGCTGGTAAGGGGTAGGGCAGGGTTTGAATCCCAAGTGCCAGGCCCCCAGTGTGGGGCTCTGGGTGGCCCCACTCCTAAACCTTTGCCCAATGAAGCTCCCCACTCTGGAAGGCTCATCTGCCTCTCCTATGAATCCTTTGTAATATTTTGTGGGCACATATTTATTATTTGTCTAATTTTTGAAAAGGTGATACAAGGAAGTGGTACAAAATTTTGTGTGTGTGGAGCTTTCTCCTTTTGGGAAACTTCCTACAATGTTGATGGAAATCGTATTACTAAGCTGGTGCAACCACTATGGAGAAGAGTTTGGAGATTTCCCCAAAAACTAAAAATACAGCTACCATATGATCCAGCAATCCCATTCCTGGGAATATACCTGAAAAGACAACTCTAATTAAAAAGATACATGCACCCCAATATTCATTTGTTGTTGTTAAGCAACCTGAAGGTCCATAAACAGATGAATGGATAAAGAAGATAAGGTACATATATCCAATAGAATATTTCCAAGCCTTAAAAAGAATAAAATAATGCTATCTGCAGCAACACAGATGGGCCTAGAGATTATCATACTAAGTCAGACAGAGAAACACAAATACTTTATGATATCACTTATATGTGGAATCTAAAAAAAAATGATACAAATGAACTTATTTACAAAACAAAAATAGACTTACAGACATAGAAAACAAACTTGTGGTTACCAAAGGGAGGAGGGGGATAAACTGGAAATTTGGGATTAACAGATAGATATACACTACTATATATAAAATAAATAATAAGGACCTACTGTATAGCACAGGGAACTGTATTCAATATTTTGTAATAACCTATACTGGAGAAGAATCATGTGTATATATATATATGTGTATGTATGTATTTGCTATACACCTGAAACTGTTAATAAACTATACTTAAATAAAAATAAATAATAAAAGTTTTAAAGTGTATAAGACCTAAAAGAAAAAAGCATATACATAACTAGAAATTCTGTAAATATCCTAAAATTTTATGTGAAATTCTTTATTGTATGTTCATGCACTATTTCATTCATTCTGTAAACATTTATTATGTGGCTATTATGTGCAAAGCATGAAAGTAAGTATTGACATGTGGCCACTGCCTTCAGCTTAATTTCTAGCTGAGAAGGTCACCACGAAGCAAGTGATCATTTAACCACAAGCATGGGAAGTGTCCGTGGGGTCACAAAGAGCTGGACACGACTGAGCGACTGAACTGAACTGATAGGAAGTGTAAGGAAGGGCAAGGACAGTGCTGTGGGAGCCTGCAGCTAAGGGGAAGTAGGGAAGTCTTTCCTTAGCCAAGTGCTTTTTGAATTGGGATCTGATGGCTGAGCAAGGAGTAACTGGGAAGGGCTGTGTGAGGGAGCAGGCAGAGAGAAGAGGTTAGTATGTCAGATGAAGCAGCATCTCTGAAGGCTCCGAGAAGGAGCATTTCATGTTCAAGGGTCAGAGGAAGGCCAGAGAGGCTGTAGGTACAGTATCTCAAGGAAAAAAAAAAAAAAGAAACCATCCCACCGAACCCAGCCCCATTTGTGGCAGATTTTCTGTTAAAGAAAGCAAAACCTGGTGACTTGTGCTTTCCTGGACCTCTCACAGCCGGACACTGCTGACGGCGTCACAGCCCAGGACTTTCAACTGGTACTTGCCCTGTTCCATGCAATCTACCCAGAACTGCGCCTTGAATTTCCCCAAACCTCTTTTATTCCCTCCTCCTCACTATATACAGAACATCATTACTGTACAATTATAATTAGAGAAATAGTTCCTGCCTGCAGGCCTCTGAAACAAACTTAGTTCACCAAGAAGTACGTGAAGAGGAAAGTGTCAGGACTTCCCTGGTGGTCCGGTGGTCAGGACTTGGGGCTTTCCATACCAAGGGCCAGGGTTCACTCCCTGGTCAGGGAACTTAAGCCACTAGGCACGGCCAGAAAAAGGAAAGTGTTCTGTAAATATAGTAATTTGGAGGGAAGAAAAGGGACTAAGAAAGAAAAGGGTCTGTCCTGCTTTCTATGGGCTTCCCCGGTGGCGCAGACGGTAAAGAATCCGCCTGCAATGCAGGAGACCTGGGTTCCATCCCTGGGGTGGGAAGATACCCTGAGGAGGGCATGATAACCCACTCCAGTATTCTGGCCTGGAGAGTCTCCATGGACAGAGGAGCCTGGTGGGCTACAGTCCATGGGGTCGCAAAGCTCAGACATGACAGCTTTCTATAATGATAGCTAATATGATAGCCCATAGAAAAATGCCAATCAATTTTATCAAAAAGCCTGGAGGGACTTTGTTTTGTATCCCAGGTTAGCAAGATTAGCTTTCCAATAGTAGAGAGCTGAGATCCTGTGTATTCAGGCCACTAAGACACATTGCCCCTCGCACACTGGAGAACATGGAACTGGTCCTGCATTGACAGGTACGGTTTCTTAATGTCTGTCCTTTCAGAAACAGTAGTTGTATACTCACAAATTCAGTGCCTACAAACTATAAGGCAAAGGGTATGTGGGCTCAGTCGCTCATTAAAAAAAAAAAAAGTACGCTTGATGTCACATTTCAGGAGGTAGAGATTGCAAAAATCTTATTTTTTTTCAAATAAAAAATAACCTAATATTAAGATCATTGAATTGCTTAAAAAAAAAAGTTAAGAATCCTGCCAGAGTAAGACAGTAAGTGTCATGTCAGGGATTGCCCCAAAGCCTGAGTGAGATAGATGATATTAATAAATATTTGCTGAATCGATATCAGGCACTCTGTGATCCAAATCAGAAGGGAGTGATTCCCCACTTGTCCTGTGTTTCTTTCTGCCGAGCACCTTAACGTTACGACAGTTTCTAGTCATCCCTGACTAGCTCTTGGTCTGAGAGGCAGAGGAGTCCCCGTTTTATCCGATGTGCCCATGGGAACACTGAGCCGCAGGCCAGAGGAGGCTTGGCAGGGCAGGTGCGGGCGACAGGCATCTGCCCTCTGGGCTGGACTCACCCGCAGGCCCACTCTGGCTGCAGCTCCTCCGTCTCCAGCGTCTCCCAGCCCTGCAGTCTAAGGCAGTGAAAGGTAATCCTAGGTACCACCCCTGGCTCAGATTTCTCTCAGTTTGGCATCAGCTGCAGGCCATTCTGTTCAGGAATCCCAAAAGCTAAAGAAAAGAGATTTCGGATGAGGCATGTGTGGACCTGAGGCATCAAGGGCCACCCCTGGAGACGAACCAGCTCTGATGGAGCCCAGGGGATCTGTTGGAGAGAAGGCTGACAGAGAGAGCAAGAAAGAGGAGGAAAGACGCGAAGGGAGAGAGAAAAGAAGAACAAGAGATGGGAAAAGCACCGAGGGAGGAAAGGGGAGAGAGAGGAGAAAGACGGATGCCTGTGGTGGTGTGGGAACCATGGAATACCACCTGTGAGGGCTTCCTACATACCACGTCTTTCCCACCCGTCTTCCTCTAAGATCAGATCAGGATTATCTCACAACAATCCTATCAGGTGTGTCTGATCTGCTACCCTATTTTACAGAAGATGAAGCTGAGGCTTAGAAAGGTTCAGGAACTCGACTAAAGAAGAGGAAGCTGAGGCTTAGAAAGGTTCAGAACTTGCCCACAGAGCAACAGTCAGAACTTGAACTCCAGCTGTCTAAGTTTAGAGCACTTCACTACATAATGCTGAGTGGAAAAAAAAAAAAAAACACAGCAAAACTTTCAGTGTGTTAAAAATACACGAATATCAAAGGACACCATCAAGAAACTGAAAGGATATCCATAGGGAGAAAATATTTGCAAATCATAAAAATAGCAAGGGACTTGTACCCATATATAAAGAGCTCTTACAATGGAACAATAATTTTTTAAAAAAACCCTGATTTTAAAATAAGTAACAGATTTGAGTGGATATTTCTCTAGAGAAGATGGACACATGGTCTGTAAGTGCATGAAAAGATCCTTGATAGATTCAGTCATTAGGAAAATGCAAATCAAAACTACATTGGGACACCACTTCCCATCCTCTAGGTTGGCTGTAATAAAAAAGACAGATAATAGCAAGTGTTAGTGAGAATATGGTGAAACTGGAACCCTCATAGACTGCTGGTGGGAATGTAAAATGGTGAATTGCTGTGGAAAGCAGGTCATCCCTCAAGTAAACATAGAATTACCATGTGATCCAGCAATTCTACTCTAAAATACACAAATCCAAGAGAATCAAAAATATATGTCTACACAAAAACGTGCTCATGAACTTTCACAGCAGCATTAATCATAATAGCCCCAAAGTGGAAACATCCTAAATGCCTATCAGTTGATGAATGGATAAGCAAAATGTGGTGTACTCATATAACTAAATATCATCTGGCAATAAGAAGGAAGGAAAGACTGATACGTGCTGCAACACTGATGAACCTTCACGTGATTAACCCACAAGACCAAATATACTGTAAACCAGTAAGCTGTACACTTAACACAACTTCAAAGAATGTGAGTTGTATCTCAATAAAGCTGTTACTTAAACAAACAAAAGCCCAAATTATTTAGTATAGGAAGAAATCCAGAAAGATGCGTGCTGAATATTGGTGGTTATTATTCTGTGGCCAGATTACAGGTCATTTTTTTTCTTGTTTTATTACTTCATCAGTCATTAACAATCAGTTCTGTTTAATTGATTCAAAGAGGCATGGGTGGAGTTTGCTGACTCAGCTTTTATTGCAGGGAGAGAAGCACCCCCAAACCATCTTCCAGCTGACCTGAGTACCTAGGTGGCTAGAGGGGAGGGGCAGGGGATGGAAAACTACCTTTGACAAAAACTGGCCTTTGTCAAGGGCTCCAACCCCACACTCAGCCTCAGGGCTCTGGGCTGGGGCAGGCGGTGATGAAGACGTGCTTGGCCCTAAGCCCTGGCCCATCTGCCACTCCCCTGATGGCCCTGGGGAGCAGCCGTGTGGTATCAGCCGGAGGTAGGGCGGCTACAGTCACAGAGTCCAGATGCGCTGGAGTAACCAGACCTGCCTGCAGGAACCTACTGGGAAGTGAAATCAAGTTAGTCTGGGAAAGGAGCTTCGAGTCTCTTTGGCTCAGAGCCATGCGGTGGGCATTCCAGAGCAGATGAGCAGATACCAACACAGAAGCCCTTTCCCAAGGCTCTGAACTTTGGGGATCCCCAAAGCACACCTTACACAGCACCTAGTGTGGTCTAAATCAGTGCATCTAACAGCTGGAGGGCCCCCAAGTCTGGGACTCCCCCTCTTCTCCAAAGTAACACTGGCAGGGAGAGGAAGGGATGCGTTTCACACATTCCTCTCTGGCACCCGCCCCCCGGTGTGGACTGAGCCCTCTCATGCAGGGACAGTCTGGAATATGCTCTGGTTTATTTTTCTTAATCTCTTACTTTGATTCATTTATTTTTAAAAAGTAAATCATTTTTTAAAAGACTAAATCATTTTTATCAGTCAATGGCATGGAAAGAAAAAAGGAAGGGACTATTTTAGAAGAAAACAACTTGGCCCAGTCACTGAGCTGCCGCCGAGGACTCAGCAGACTCCCTTTCCAGCCCCCTCGCTTCCCAAGGCTCCGTATCCCCTGCCCACCTTCTCTGGCGGCCGCCTTCAATCATATATATGTCCGCTATCCAGAACCTCCATTCTTTGGACCCCTTTGCTGACGCAAGGAAGGGTACTGATCTGCCTCCTGCTGGCACTGAGGATTATATCCATATAAGGATTCAAAGAAGAAACGGCAGGAAGACCATTACTGCCATCCAGGGGATTGCTGATGATTACGATAAAAAGAATCTAGTGAAGGCGTTTAGGAAGCAATTTGCCTGCAACGGTACTGCATTGAGCATCTAGAGGATGGAGAAGGAATTCAGCTACAGGGTGACCAGCACAAGGACATACGCCAGGTCCTGGTTGAGACTGGACTGGCTAAGGATGACCAGCTGAAGGCTCATGGGTTCAAGAGCTTTGGGCTCACTGAGGCTTAGGTGAGGATTTCCTTGCAATGAGTAGAAATTCCCTTCTGTCCCTGTCACAAGTTTAAACACCTCGCAGCTAATATAATGTAACCATCTGGGGTCTGCTTTTAACTTGGACTAGTGGAACTCCTTCATGCAACAAACTGAACAGAGCCATGCTGGCTAGTCTTGGGGTCCCTCATTTAAACAGAGGAAAAGCAGAGGTGCCTGGCAGTGTCCAGCCTGAACCAAAGGAGTAACAGTAATGCTTCAGCCAAGTCCAGAGCCCCAGGATCACAGGGGGCTATGTCTGGCCGGAAGTCCCTCAACAGTCCCTCTGCAGAGTTCCCTGTCCTGAGAGAACATCACCAACTGGACAGCCCTCGATGAAGCGGAGAATGGAGGATGGGTGAGGTGGCTGTACTGCCAGAGGGAGACTTGGTGGTCGGGGAAAGATCCCTTGCTGTCTCCAATGTGACCCGGTGGGCACAGCTTAGAGCAACCACCCTCTAGTGAGGGGCCAGGACATCTGGCTTGCCACCAAGGTCTTTTTGACCAGATATATCCTAAATAATCGATTCCCAAACTAGAAGGTGAGGCCAACCTTCTATCAGTTCAACTTCTGACAAGGGAACAAATTTCAAACCGATGTATCAGTCATAGCTGTAGCGCTTGCAACTCACTAGCAACAGCGGCCCAATGCCATGTGAAGTCACAAACGGATTTTTGGGTTTTTTTTCCCCCGTCCTCTTCAGTTCTAATGTTATGTAATGTATTTAAACCCTTATTTAAATAAAACTTATTTTCAGAAACAACAACAACAAAAAGAAAACAACACAAAACAGCCAAAGACAACATGTAGATCTTGTTTGGATTCTGATTCAGACAAACCCAGTGTCAGAAGATATCTCTGAGGTAACCAGAGAAATTTTAATATGGACTGAGTATTAGGTGACATTGGGAAATCTTTGTTAATGCTACTATCACTACAAAGAATACTCTTGTTCATGCATTTCTGTACCTAAATCTCCTGACTAGCTTAGAAGCCAGACTCTGTCTCTCTCATACCAGGTAGTAGGGTTAGCACAAGGGTTAAGAGTATGAACTCTATTTGATGACTCACTGGGTGATCCTGAGCAAGTTGAGCAAGTTACTTAATCTCTCTGTGCTTGCTTTTTCTTTTTTTAAAATTTATTAATAGGGGAAATAATATAACTCAACTCATGGGCTTGATTTGAAGATTAAATGAATTAATATTAAAGCACTCAGATAATATCTGGTACATAGTTCACTGAAAAGTATTTGTTCAAGGATTTATTTATTTTTTTGTTCAAGGATCTTTTAAAAATCCTGCATCACAACTGTGTTCTATGAATCCAAGAGAAAGCTTGTGCATAAGGAAAATTCAAAGAAAATAGCCCAACCAAGTTCAAGTGACCCTAGCAATAGGAAGAATCAAGCCTAGGCAGCAGTGGTGGTGGTGGTTTACTAAGTCATGTCCAACTCTTGCAACCCCATGGACTGTAGCCCACCAGGGGATCTTCCCAGCCCAGGAATTGAACCCGGGTCTCCTGCATTACAGGGAAGATTCTTTACCAACTGAGCTACCAGGGAAGCCATACATCCCAAACAGAAGATAGTCCATCATGGCTGAAAGCCTGGCTTCTGAAGCCAGATTGCGTTAAAATTGTGCTCTACAACCAGTGGGGTGTGTGACTTTGAGCCAGTCACTCATAACTTCAGCTGACTCTGAGAAGGAGGCTCTAGCAGTGTCTACCAGGCAGTCTGGAGAGGATTAAATGGAACAGTCTAACCCTTGGCATGGCCAGGCTCACCGAGCAGCCTGCTATTCTTATTAGCTCTGGCACTTGGCTCACTCACTCATGGCTTCACCTCAGCCAAGGCTTTTCCACTCTTGGGGCCTCACTTTTCCCATCCTCAAGCCTCCAGTACAAGAGGGAAGAGAAAAGAGAGTGAACATCTGCTGGGCATCTATGCTGAGGCCCAGGGAGGCGGCCTCTATTACCGCCCATGGACCAGCAGCTGGGAGCAGGGGCCCCCAGACTCAAATTCAGCTGGATCTGGTTCCGAATTCACTTGCCTGAGCTGCTTTTTCTTCAGGGTTCCGTGGAAAAAGTCCTTGGAGAGTTTTTTGTTTCTGTTTTTTTTTTTTTTTTTTTAAATGAAAGCCATACCCTTTGAAACTCAAGTTGCAAGAGACAAGGGATCCTCAATAAGTGACCTGTGAAGCTGAAGCCTCAGGAAGACCCTTTCCAACCAGCGATGCCCTTTTCACGTTCTCATAAAAACCACCCTCAGCTCCAACTGGCACAGCCCACGGGGCGCTGCAAGGTCACCGCCTCCCCAGCTGGGCCCCCGGCCGAGGCCCCGGCGGCCCAGGGGTGTGGGCATTCCGCACCCTCATCCCGCGGAGAGAGGACGAACCAACGTACCCCAGGCGAGGTGTCCCGGCCCGGGGGCGCGGCGCGGGGCAGACGCCTCTGGCCCCAGGCTCTGCCGAGACTCCTGGACGCCGCCTTCACCCAGCTCCGTCCGCAGCCGCTGTCTCCTCGCCGGGACAGTCCGCAGGGTCGTACGGCTCTGAAGGGGCACCCGTGCTCCCCGGGCGGAGGGCGCTCCGAGAGGCGTGGACTTGGCAAGCGGGGGCCGTGTATTGGAGGCACCTGGAGAGACAAGGCGGCGGGAGGCTGGAAACCGGGCAGGAGTCCCCTAAAAATAAAGAGAGGTGTCGTAAGAATGGGACGTTGGGGGGGGCCGTCCCGGGGTGGGGGTCGGGGGGCAGGACACGAAGCAGCCTCGGAGCCCTCTGGGCGCCCGGCCCCGCGCCGCGCGCTACCTGTGCGGCCGCTCAGCGCGGCGGGCCGGAGCCGAGCGCGCACAATGAGGCGCTTTCAGACGTGGCTGCGGTCCCGGAGCAGGCGGGCGGGCGCCGGGGCGGGAGGGGAGGAAGGAAAGAGCCGGTTGGCCCCCGGGCTCGGACTAGCCTGCCCACCGCGGGCCGAGGGGCCACGCCTCGGGGGAGGGGCGGCCGCCCCGGGCGGGCGCGGGCGAGCCCCGGAGAGGAGGGCGCAGGTGGGCCCGGGGGGCGGCCAGGGGCGCGCGGCTCGGTGCGGGGTGTCAGAGGGAGCCCGCCGCGTCGCTTCTCATCCCACTCGTTGACCAAAGAAGTGTTTCCCCCTCCGATCAATCCCCAGAGAAGGGAGGCTCCTGGGAACACAAAAGGCCCTTGTGAAAGAAACCGAATCTTTATTTTGCCCCTGCTCGCTCTCGGTGGCATCCTCGCAGCCAGAGGAATCCAAACTGCTTCCCAAGCCCCCGGCCTCGGCCCCAGCCAAGCCTGGGTCACCTGGATGCCGGGGCCCCGCGCACAAGCCGGGCTGAGAGGGGCCGGGACACCAGGTGGCCCTCAGGAGCTGGGCCTGCAGCTGGCTGTCCCCCCCCCCTTCTGTAGCCTCAACCCAGAGACTCAGGCTTGATAGCAGGTCCGGGTAAATACCGGGTATCTTTCAGTAAATAAAGATGTTATTTCCCCCTACAGATAACAGAGTCCAAGTATCTGAACAAGATGGAGAATTCTGATCTCTTGTAGTCCCTGGTGCGACCTAAAAAGAGATTTCTGCGGCTGGAACTATAAATTAGCACATTCTTTCCAGGATTCGGTTTGGCGAGATGAATTAAAATCCTTAAGAAACTTTTTGAAATCATAATTCCTTTCTATGCTCTGTCTTAAGGAAATAAAACTAACAAAAAGGATTTATATGCACGGTTGATAGAAATGTCATTTATAACAGCAAAAAAATAAAAAAGCAAAAAATTAAAAGGATGTGTGTCAGAATGCCGAGAGCAATTTACAGACAACTCATTTTCTTTAGGTTTCTGTAATTACACGTTTCCCCCCATAGGCATTTAGAACTTACATGGTCACAAAGAAATAAAATTTCTTTTACAAAGCATAAACATGAAGAGAAAGAAAGGCGGCTTTATTATTCTTAGATGATGGGACCTCACCTGATTCAAATAGAAACTGGATAATCATTTGGCAAGATAAGAGATTCCACCCTGCCAAATATTGTCTTGGACCCTGACACAGCTATGGGTTACAGCCCAGTTGATGAACTTCTGTATATTTCCCACCTTTTCCCTGCAACTATACAGTGTGGTTCATCTTCAGAAGCCACCAACATCTGATCTGTAAACAATCTGGTATCCACCAGAAGCAGTTGTAATTTTCCAGCCTGTGATTTTCACATGCCATGTGGATTCCACCAAAAACTCACATTTACTTGGGGTGGGGCCAGAAGGCTTTTGCCAAAGAGTTAACAAAAGCTCCAAGGTCTTTGGGCAGAGCCCTGGCAAAACAAGGCTGTTGGTGAGTAACGAGAAATGTGCACAACTTCTGCCCTCCCCACCTCCCTTTTCCAAATACCCTGTCCCTCTAAAGAGCCACATGGAACCTTCCAGTTTGAACATTTTAATTATAAAGTTACAAAACATCATGGTTCTTTATACATATTTGGCATGAAAAATAATAAAATACGAAGCCGTGTTGAGATACATCTTCAGCTCTCTTTCCATATTTCATTACCTTTTGGTGATTCAAACCAGAAACTCTTTTTTTATTTAAATCTCAGGGAAGAAAACAACAACAACTCTAGGCATATAAACAGCTCAAAATATTAAAAGGCAGAGGGACCAGTGTTAGGATCTTTTTGTGCTTAAATACTTCAAAACAGCTTTGTTTCCAAAGTTCTTATTTTGGTCAGCCTGGAAGAAAAGGTGCCTTGGAAATAAAAACTCAGAGGTGTGTGTGGATGGGTGTTAAGTGAGGATCTCAGAGGGCATGTCCTTCCACTGCCAGTGAAAGCACGGGGTCATAAAGCAGGTCCAGCGGTCCTTAAGAGTGTGAATGGAAAATCCCTGGTCCACTCATGACAGAGGTCCATTCCGTGTCTCTGCGGCAGACGCTCAGAGTCACGAGGGTGATCCAGCTGAACTGCGTCTCATTCTGCTGACGGCCAGGCCCGGAATGGGCTCCTGTGTGTCCTCCCAAAGTGGCCCTCTGTGATGGGCACCCCGTTCCTGAGGCAGAGGAAACGCAAGTCGCGGGCTTCCCGCTAGCCCTCCAAGTAACCTCTGTGGTTGTCAGGTGGCAGGAGCCAATAGCAACAACAGCTCCTCTGTCGCCAGCGTCCTTTTCAAGCGGGGGAGGGCTGTCGAGGAGGAAGCGTGGCAAGTGGGCAGCCTGCTGGGCGAGGGCCAGGGAGAAAGGACCTGTTGTTGCACGGCTCACTCCCCCGCTGTCGCTGAGGGCCTGTGCCCGCAGCAGCCCTGCTGACCGCGGCCTGCGATTCCAGGGGCTCAGCCAGAGGCCAAGAGCCGCCCCGGCGGGCGGGATCAAGGGCTGCTCGGCAGGGCTGCCACAGACCCCCGTCTGTTCGACGCGGCAGGTGGACGCCGGGCCGCTTGTCCTCACGGCGCCCGCCCGCGCGCACATGTGCCCCGAGCGCTCCCCTCTCCCCCTCCAGATCGCCGGTTAAAGGCCTCTCAGTTCTGGAAACCAGTGCTGAGCGGAAATTTAGACGCCCAGGAGTGGAAAGTGCTGATGATTGCGTATCTATCCCCAGAGAGCCCTGCAAAGAGGAAAACCTGGTTTACAACAGGGGGAAGAAACGCACGGCATGCTTCTCAGTTCAACAGAGGAAAAGTCTTTGCTTCACCAGAGATGGGATTCTTTCCAAGCTGTCTGAACTGACTGTAGTTGCCTCTGGAGATCCAAGTCTGAGGCGAAAAACACAAACAAAAGCAAATTATAGCCTTGGGGAACCCTCAGAAACATTTCTACAAACTAGTCCCTGATTATCTCTGCAGATGCTTAGGAGATATAGAATTTGTGTAGAGGAAAATTAGAAAGGATTGTTCTTTGTCTCTGATGGGAAAAGCACACATGGGGGCAAGTGTCCATGGACTCTTCAGAAATTTCGTAAGATGGCAGTTCTCAGAAGACAACAGTGAGGTGGCCACGGTCTTGCTTAAGAGTTTTCAGAAAGGGTCTTCTTACGATAAATGCTCCTTATACAGTTCTCCCTGGGGCATAGCTGTTACAGGGATTGTGGTCACCACCTGATTTTGGAACACAAATCTTTTGATTCTTTCAAACACCCACAGGAAGATAAGTAGGATACTGACATACTGGATCCAGGCGAACTTTATCATTTCCCAGAATCCTGGTAGATAAGTACCAACAGTTAAGGAGTCACAGATGACATTTTCTATATACATGTTACACCAAAGGGTTAGTTTATACAGAAAATCACAAAAAATGTTTCAAATATCCTTAAGATAAAAGAGACAATCAAAGATTATTAAGATATAAATATGTATGATTCTGACCTAGAAGAATTGCTCAAAAGGACATATGAACAGGAAATGAATATTTTTTTTTCCCATATGAACTGCAGACAGACAGAGTCATTTGTGGGGGACTACCACTGCAGCAATTTCCAGTCTGAGGCTTCCCACATCTGTTCCTTCTTGAGACATCTGAGGAATCCTTCTCTGTTTTGAAACCCAGCTACTGTTGGCCCTTTAACAGAAAGGATATGAAATGACTTCCACGGGGTATCGGATGACTGCATTAACCACAAATGGAGCTTCTGCAGCCCTTCCCACCAGCCAGATGGGGCTGGGGTCAGTCAGGATGGTGGTTACTGCAACACAATAAGGAGTTAATCTGTGAATGCTCTCTTTGGCAGTAAAATATTGAGGGCTATAAAATACTCTGACCTCCCAGGCCAACTCTGCACTTCAGAACACATTCCAAAGAGATAATTCAAAAGGAAAGAGAAACTGAATGTTCAAAGCTGCTCACATAGTATTTGTTAAAACACTTGTCAAAGGACGTTAAAAAGTCTGTGTTCTACAACTGTCTAAGCAAAGGAATACTATGTTACTTCTAAAAAGAAAACCAATGAAAACTTTGTAGTGGTGTACAAAAGTACAGAAGACAAAGTATTTATATTACAAAGTACAGAAGACAAAAACTGTCTCTAAACTGTGACAGGAGCTGTATAAAAACTCTGCATATGGACAACAACTGGAAGGAATTAAGGGAGAAAAGTTGATTTGCAGACAAATGTTTTTAAGTCGTGTTCTAAAATTCCTTTATTTTTGGAATAAAGCTGCTCATGTATTACTTAAAACCAGAAAGAAATACTGGAATTGCGGTCCCGACTTGTTAAATGTCTGTGTATCGTTATCTATGATGTCTGGTTGCCAAGTAATGCTTTAGGTTCCTTTAGAGGAAACCTCAGACCACCAAGCAGCCAAAAATGCTGAGCCAAGCACGCACTCAGGTCTTGCCTCTTGGAGGCCCTGGGCACCCTCTGCCTTTCAGCCAGAATCTTGGGTGCTTTCTCCTTCTTCAGCTGCTGACATGCGGTGAGTCACTCGTGTTCCCTGTTTCCATCTGAACACTGTGGAGAGCAACTTGTCTTTGGCTTTTCTTACAGGTGTGCTGTGGGAAGCAACTCACATATCTATACGCATAAACCCACCAAACCAGCGGTGGGACGAATATGGCAGTGAATTGGCACTAACCTGCTGGACAGAGGAGCAGTGGAGGGGATGGTTAGGTCTCTGGATCAGGAGAAAACGAACAAATTCTGAGCAACCTGTTCACCTTCCATAGCTGAGCATTCACTGGTTTTGACATTTTGATATGACAAGGGCTCTAATTGTTTCTTTCCAATACCCTCATTAACCTGCAAAGTCCTTGAGAAGCAGCTGCAAGAGCTGTCCACAGGACTCACCGTTCCTTTCCTGATAGGCAGCAACAATGCGCGTGAGGTCGTAGTCACTGGCAAACGGACTGGTCCCGTTGATGACGGACACCTGGGACGCGGCGGGAGGGCGTGGTGTGAGCAGGTGGTATGAGCGTGCAAGCGACTTGCGCTCTTGGTTGTTCTACCCCCCGCTCCCACCCAGGCTGATCTCAGAGCCACTCTCTTGTGCTTGGGGGCCTATTCCAGCATGGATAATCTTTTCTTCAAAGATGAATGAACTCTTATGAAACAATTTAAGTCATTTACTTTCAGTCTTTCTTTCTAGAGGGAAGGAAACAAGGGGTCAATATCCGTCTTTCACAGGTTTTAAAGCTATTTATATAATTCCCCTCTCTATTCCAATGGGAGAAATGATTCTCCTAATTTTTTCTAAGAGACTACATTTTCAACCCCTTTGTCTTTTTTCTTGATCTTATCTGGATGCTCCCTAATAGTTCTCTTCGAAATGCAGAAATGGAAAGAGGATAAAGTGCACACATAGTAATAAGCACATAATCCTTTGAAGACGTGAGAGAGCAGTTCTCTAGTATCACATACCTGCTGACATAACATGGGCTTCCCTGGTAGCTCAGATGGTAAAGAATCCACCTGCAATGTGTGCAGACCTGGGTTTGATCCCTGGGTCGGGAAGATCCCCTGGAGGAGGGAATGGCAACCCACTCCAGTATTCTTGTCTGGAGAATCCCCATGGACTGAGGAGCCTGGTGGGCTACAGTCCATGTGGTTGGAAAGAGTTGGACAAGACTGAGTGACCAAGCACAGCACATTAAATTTATATTTTATAGTCCCTACTGTTAAAAACAAATAGTATGTTGATAATGGTTATGGTTATGGTGACCATGGATCCCAGTTTATCTGGGACAGTTTCCTACTAAGTTTCAAAAGTAGCCCAACTTATATGGGTCTCCTTGTGATAACATAAAGGTTCGTGACGAGTGATCACATGTATGAGTCCTGGTCTCAGACAGACCGTTCATGGCTCTGTGGGCTTTGGGGAAATTAATCAATCCCTGTAGGCTCCAGTTTCCTCATGTGTGAAATGAGAGTTCATTCTCTCATCAATTCTGAGTGCATACCATGGGCAGTCACTGTTTTAAGTGCTGGGGCGAGAGAACACAGAAGACAGCAGAGCTTTCATCGCTGAAAGTGAAAGTCGTGTCCGACTCTTTGCGACCCCACGGACTATACAGTCCATGGGATTCTCCAGGCCAGAGTACTGCAGTGGGTAGCCTTTCCCTTCTCCAGGGGATCTTCCCAACCCAGGGATCGAACCCAGGTCTCCCGCATTGCAGGCGGATTCTTTACAGCTGAGCCACAAGGGAAGCCCCTTTACCACCGAGGGAGATGGCAAATGAACAAACTGGAGACCTCCCTTTAGTATTTCAGGTGAAGGTTAAGAAGAGTAAAGCTGGGTGAGGGATGATGGAGGGACAGGTGGATGTCCTTTAGAAGGCGTGTCAAGGAAGGACTGCGCTCAGGAGCTTTGAACAGGGACCAGACGGAGCAGTAGGGTAAGCATGTGGATACTTGCTGGATGAAGAGTTAAGTGAAAACCCCTGAGGCAGGAGCTGCTTTGGAGGTTTGAGGGACAGCAAAATGGACCCCAGGGCTAGAAAGGAACAAGGGGACGGTGCCAGGACACGCAGCTGGAGAGCAGGGACGGCAACTGAAGGCATCTCATGAGGTTGCCGTGATGACTGAATGAGACGATGTATTTACACCTCTTAACTCAGGCTGGCCTATGTTACAAGCTTAGCAAACAGTGATTAGTAGGCTTTTTCAAATCTTTTACGTGAACTGAGAAAGATCACCTGAAATACACTGTGTGTGTGTGCTTGCATACCCCAAAACTATAAACAATTCAATTCTTATATAAAGACAAAGATTCTTCTCCCTCTTTTTTTAAGATGTACACAGGGATATCTGTCTCCATATTTCAAAAGGATTCACGGAAAGAATTCCTCAGAGATCCTTTTCTGTGCCACTCACAGAGAAGTGCTATTTCCAATGTTACTTGCTCCCTCTTCAACACACTTGATAAACAATACAATACAGAAGCAAAAGAGACGGCAGGAGGAAGTGTCCCTACATTGTACCGGACGTCCAGGCCACCACAGCCGAGGGGCTGCTTCTGCTGCAGCCTCAGGTCTCCGTTCACATATAACTGGGACCCGGGAACGGCAAAGGAGGACTGGAGAAATGCCATGCTCTGCATCACGAATGTCGACATCCTCTGAAATCATTAGAAAGAGAGATCATATCAATTTCAGTCAGATCCGAATGGCTGCAGGTTCTGAGCATTACCCATCTGCGGTTGAAGCCTAAGCCGTCCCCCCAGTGCTTAGCCATGCAGGAAGCGCTCTGCCCAGAACCCCTGGAGCTCTTAATAGCTCATGGAAATTAATGTGACCTCCACAAAAAGCATTCAAATTTAGCTTTGGTGGCTAAATCCTAAATGACACTTCTGCAAAGAGTCTCCTGCAGTGTGAGTTTTCTCAGAAATCAGAAAGGGGGGCCCTGTTCTATTGAAAGACAAAAGGGAGGACTTCCTTGGTGGTGCACTAGGTAAGACTCTGCCTGCCAATACAGGGGACACGGGTTCGATCCCTGGTCCAGGAAGATTCCACATGCTGCAGAGCAACTAAAGCCAGAGCCCGCGCTCCAAACCAAGAGAAGCCACCGCAATGGGAAGCCCTTGCACCGCAAGAAGAGTAGCCCCCGCTCACCGCAACTAGAGAGACCCCACGCACAGCAACGAAGACCAAGCACAGCCTAAAAATAAATAAATAGTAAAAAAAAAAAAAAAAAACTATGAAAAAAAGAAAGACAGAAGGGAGATAACTCACATGCAGCTGGTAGGAGAAAGTCAGGATGAGCTGCACGCCTAGGACCTGCTCCGTGGGCTGCAGGGGGAGCTCCAGCTCAAAGCGCAGCACATCCATTTTCCCGTCCTGGTTCCTGTCTTCTTCTCTAGCCTAGGAAGTCCAAAAAAGGCTGATGACCCTGGTCCTTAATAAGTCCAGGAGGACTCCACAGCGTCGAGTATGCTGGACATACACAGTGACTCTGCCACACAGAGGCACTGTACATCTCACCGAAAGGAGAAAGAACATTGACTGGTTATAGGTGGATCGATACTGGGGAAAGAGACATGGCCCCTGAACTGCACACTTGTACTTCTCAAATATTCCAGGGCCAAACTGGTTGGGACCTGAAGTGGCAATAAAAGCAATGTAACATCTGGATGCATTATTCTTTTTCAGTTGTCTCATTTGATCTTTTTTGTTTTGTTGCTGGTGTTTTCTTTCCTTTTAAGAAATATGCCTGAGTTTGTAGGGAAGGTTTAAATAGTACCTAAGAACAGATTTCAAAAAAATTTCAATCATTTTGCATTTCCCAAACAGACTCAGCAGAAAAACAGCAGGCTCTGTTTATATGTTCTTTAATCACAATGTCTTTGCTTCAGATTCTCAATGTTGGATTGATGTCAGGGTTTTAAAACCTAGTGCATCTTTTAGTACCAATCAGTACAATGAAAAAGAAAGCTAAGTAAAATCAGTAAGGCAGTAAGACTCCATAGATACTTTATAAATTAGGGACATGAAAGCAGTAAGAACAGAGATCCAAGGAGGGAGAAAGACAAATCATTGCTCATAAAAAACCACCAGAATCCAGTCTCGCCTCACAGTGACCCTAAGAGGACGAGCAGGAGAGATGGTCACTGAGATGTAATCACTGGGGACATGATTCCATGGCGCAACTCTGGACCTCGTTACAACCGAGCCTGTTTCTAGGTTCCCAGAGGATTCCGCGATGGTGTATCAGCATACTCCCCCCTGAATTCCCCATCTACTGAGTCATGTGGTTTTCCTCCATACCTTTATGTGGGGGAAGAGACTCTTTGTTCTTTTTCAGGCTAATAAGGTCGCTTGAGATGGAGTTATCTCAGGTTTCAGAACCTTTCAATCATTTCTTTCCTTCTAGACAATAATGTCCTTATCCTGGGCCTTGTTATAGAGAAGTCCACCCTCTCTCTTCTGCGGGATACCGTTTTCTCTGTCTCGTTCCGTCGGCTTTGTAGGTGCAGCACAGGGATATCTGTTACGAGGGCTGATGATCAGGTTACTGAGGCAATTATGTATCAGCAATTATGAGTAGGATGGAAAAGAGGCTGCCTTGTCTTCCTGAGCACTTTTTTTTTTTTCAGTTGATATCTGGGAAGACTTGGAAGACAAAGTTGGGTTACCTCTCTGTGGTGGATCCATAGCTTTTCTGGATCTTGAGGGTTATACAGGAAGACAAGATCAACAACTTTCGAGAGAGAAGGATAGTGGCCAGAAGGGAAATGCCAGAAGAATCTGGACTCTCATAGTCTCAGAGGGAGAGAAACACATTTCATTTGACCTTTACAATCAGTCAAAGGTAAGCAGAGCAACTACTATTCCCATTGCACATATGAGAAAATCAAGTCTCAGGGAGATTAGAGGATTTATGGAGTACAGCTAGTATTGGTAAAGACAGGATATGAAACCACATATCTGACTTCAAATCTGGTCCTGTTTCCAGGACTAAAATGTCCAGACTTAAACTCAAGGAGCAGATGTTGGTTATGAAAGATCTTTTTGCAAAAAAACCAGCATGCTTTTACTCCAGGTTCACAGAGGACAGAGATCTGGTACAGTACCATAATTGGTGTCTATCTGGTAAATCCACTCATTAGCCTATCAAATATTTTCTGAGGGCCTACTATGTGCCAGAGGTGCCAGGCATTGCTTCAGGTTCTGGGAATATAGTGGCAAACAAAATGGACAAAGTCCCCACCATAATGGAGCTTCCATTCCCAGCCAGGGAGGCAGAGTGTAAGTCAGTAAACAATGTGCTGACATCAGGTAGTGCTAAGTGCCACAAAGAAAAGTGAAGCAAGCTAAAATCAGAGAAGATCAGGGTAGAATTTAACAGAAATTTATATAGAAAGTATTCAGGAATACCTGACTGCCCGAGAAGTCAGATAAAGTGAGGTGATGAGGTACAGAAACATCTTGAGAAAGACTAATCCAGGCTAACAAAACGCATGTGCTCTGGGTGAAAGTGGGTCAGTGTTTACAAGGCTGAGATGAGGCCAGTGGAGCTGAGCAGAGTTCATGAGCTGGAGACAGTGAAAGACAAGGCTGATACAGGGCCGTGGCGATGAGTGATCATGCAAATGATGCCTCTCCCACAGAGGTGCCTGCGTGCCAAGGTACTTCAGTCATGTCCAGCTCTGCGACCCCATGGACTGTAGTCCGCCAGGCTCCTTTGTCCATGGGGTTCTCCAGACAAGAATACTGGAGTGGGTTGCCATGCCCACCTCACAGAGGACCTGTCACCAAGTAAGACTCTCACTCCCCTGAGGCTGGTAAGGTGGGTTACATCGCTGTGCTATCACCTGGACCACAGATGGGATCAGTCATTTAATTCCACCTGCTTTTTATAAAGACTGTATTTATTGACTTGGCTGTGCTGGGCCTTCAGGGCTTTGCGAGCTTTTCTCCAGCTTCGGGGAGTGGGGGCTACTCTCCAGTTGCAGAGTGAGGGCTTCCCATGGCGCTGGCTTCTCTCGCTGCGCAGCGCAGGCTCGAGCGCACTCAGGCTTCAGCGGCTGTGGCTCCCGGGCCCAAGAGCACAGGCTGATAGAGCCCGGGCTGAGCTGCCCTGCAGCGTGTGGGGTCTTCCCAGACCAGGGATCAAACCTGTGTCTCCTGCATCGGCAGGTGGATTCTTTACCACTGAGCCATGAGGGAAACCCAAATTGCACTACTTTAAATGAAGCTTAATACAAAATGCAGCGGCTACAAAGGTAGGTACTTCCTTACAAAGCTACAAAGCTAGTACTTCTTTAACACAGATTCAAGGCTGGTAAATAAAATCTAGTGGATGTGTCTGGCTAAGAGAAGTCATAAATCACACCATCCCCCTATTTCTTTAAGGTGTATGTCAACTTGTGGCGATCTCTATATCCATGGATTGTCCTGTCTCATTCCTCTGCATATCCCAGAAGTTTATTACTAATAATAACTAGCAATAATTAGAGAGGTAGGTACTATCATACTCTTTATATAACTACACTGAGGTCAAAACAGGGTATGGAACCCAATGACAGAACTGGGGTTGAGACTTAAGTTTGCTGACTCTTGATTCTATAACAGCCAATAAGAACGCTAATTTCAAAGATTTCTGGGGTTAAAACAGGTTAATCCTCTACAGATATCTGTGAAACCAATACTAACATATAGATAGGATAAATACAGGCAGGCACCGCTGGATCTAGTCAATGCCCATCAGTCCAATGGTATCGATCAGGGTCCAGTCAGAAAGAAATAAACAAAATCAAGCTATTTTAACAGGGGAATTTAGTATAGGGGATAACTGATAATATAGGCATTAGTAGGAGAAAAAAGGCAAAAAAAGGGGACACTTTGCAGGATGACTACCTAGGGCTGGAGAAGAAAAGGAAGAAGCTGGGACGTCTTAAGGAGCTGCGACTCAGACCTCAAAAAAGGAGGGCTGATACCTTTGGAGCTTGGAGGGAGAACCCATGGAGCCAGTCAATAAGGCTGGAGGAAGGACTTGCTCCTGCTGTTTGCATCACGCCTGTGATGGTTCTTCACCCTGGCTGCAATTTCCGGTTTTTTTGCCACTCCCAGAACAAGGCTTACCATGCCTCCTACTGGCAGAACCTAACAGGGAGCCATTTGTCAGAGGAGAATGTGGGTTTCAGTATCTCTACTTGAGCACCACAAAGCAGAGGGGTGGGTTCGGAGCTGAGACAAGACCTCACAGCGAGCAAAGCATCTGACTGTAAGCGTAGCTGTGAATTTAACTAGTGCCATTGTTTTCAGAGTGCCCTGACTTGGAACATTTTTTCCTTATCAGGGATTCTACACTATTTGATAGTTTGTTGGAATTTTATTTGGCTCCTGCTTGTTTTCATACCTTTTGTTCTTTTTTTAAAAAAAATTATTTACTTACTTTTATGTTGCTCTGGGTCTTGCTAGGCACAAGCTTTCTCTAGTTGCAGCCAGCAGGGGCTACTCCCCAGTTGCAGCGCGTGAGCTTCTCATTGCAGTGGTTCCTCTTGTTGCAGAGCAAGGGCTCCAGGTGCAAGGGCTCCAGTCGTTGTAGTGCAAGGGCTTAGTTGCCCCGCAGCACGTGAGATCCTCCCAGACCAGGGATCGAATCCATGTCTCCTGCATTGGCAGGCGGACTTCCAGCCACTGGACCACCAGGGGAGTCCCATACCTTTTATTCTTTGGAGTCACATTCTTTTATTTAAGGTTAACTTCCTGGCTGACACCTGTGTCCACTTTACCGTGCACTGGTCATCACTGGGGTGTCCCCCTTTTTCTTTCTATGCTGAAAATGCTCTCTGACACCAGTCTTTGGCTCTCCAGCAAGGTAGGAACCACGACTCCATGTCTCCTAGACTTAAAAAATCCTTGCTACCTATACTTCAATGAATCTAAGGGTATGGAGAAGGGCATGTCAACCCACTCCAGCATTCTTACCTGGAGAATCCCAGGGACAGAGGAGCCTGGGAGGATTCAGTCCACAGGGTCGCAAAGAGTCAGACACAACCAAAACAACTTTGCTCCAGAAAAGCAAAAATACTTCTAGTTAAACTGTTGTGCGACACAGTGCTTTCTAATCACGCAGGGAATTTATTTTATACTCACTGGAAGAGCTTTTAGACCTAGGCATATTAATATATCATATTTATGTACATAGAAAAATATATGCAAAATAAATTGATCCAGGGATTCTTAAAACTTCTCTACATTTTGATTCTTTTGAATCATTTTTTGACTCAGTATTATCCATACTTTTCTCTGCAGCTTTGTCCTTTGTACCATGCAGCCCACTGGTGTTAGAGCATTTATTTTTTAAAATTTATTTATTTTTTTAGTACTACCACTTTATTGCTACCAACCCATCTCCC